GGGAGGAGGACAGATTCCTGCAGTGCTGGGTGGGCTGAGGGATGGAGGAGTAGGCACCATGGTGGGGGTCGAGGATGGAAAATGGAGAAGTGGGGAAATCTGGAAAGGGGCAGAAGGTGGAAATTAAGAATCCCAGTGCTGCCCTGGCTGGTGTGGCTCAGTGGATTGAGCACCAGACTGCAAACCAACAGGCTGCTGGTTTGAGTCCCAGTAAGGGCACATGCCTGGGTTGCAGGCCAGGTCCCCAGTAGGAGGTGCATGAGAGGCAATCATACCTTGATGTTTCTCTCCCTCTCTCCCTTCCCCTCTCTCTAAGAATAAGTAAATAAAATCTTTAAATTAAAAAAAAAAAGAATCTCAAAGCTACCATTTCCTGCCTGGGGGTCCTTGATCAATTACATCAACTTTGTGAGCCTCAGTTTCCTAATCTGTGGGTATAATAATACTAATAACACTGATAATATACTAATTCTGATCATAGTAAGTCTGATACTTACTCTAAGTAAGTAAGGTAATACTAGTTTATTAACACACCTAACACATTTGTTCCTTACTTCATCAAATATTTATTGGACATCTTTTATGAACCAGGGGTTAATAATGAAAATAAATAAGTAAATGTGAGCTGACAGTTGCCGTGACGCTGACCTTCCTTGAAGAGGGAGACAGACAATAAAGGGAAAACATCAATAAAAAAAGATAAATTTCAGATAGTGATAAATGCTTCGAAGGAAACACAACAGAACGACGGAGATAGCGACGGTGCAGGGGAACCTACTTTAAACAGGGCAATCAGGCAAGGCCTCTCCGAGGAGGTGACATCTGAGCTGAGCCCTGAAGACAGGCGTCATCTGAACGCTGGGCCAAGCGGAAGTGCAAAGGGCTCTAGGGAACAAGCTCGGGCTGTTTGGGGCGCAGCAGACAGAAGGGCCAGTGTGTTTGGAGTATTGGGAGTGAGAGGGAGGGTGGGAAAAGATATCAAAGAGGGCCCTTGAAGGCTAGGGGAGGAGTTTGGGCTTGATTCTAAGTGCAGTGGGAAGTCGCTGCAAGGTTTTAAAGGCATGCAGTACCAGGGACTTAATGGTAACGATCATTATTGACAATAATTCTCAGATTATTGAATTCGGGTGAGGGGTGATGACTACTTGGAAGGCCTGGGTGATGGTGAATAGTGAGCGACAAGGGAACAGGTGTCTGTGAACTTGATAAGGAATTGATAGCTGTTGAACTGGAATTTGGGGCTCCTGCATGGGAAGGAAATGGGGGGGATCTGATGGGGCCACAGCTGGGGGAGGGAGAGTGGTTGATCATGTGGGTTTCCTGAGGGCAGTTCGGTGACTGGCTGGGTAACCGGAGGACCTGGAAACTGAGGTGCCACTGGGTCTGAAGACTGAAAAGTTGGAGTGCACAATGAGGGTGCCTGGGTGTAGCACAGGAATCCCAAACCAGGGAGCTGCTTAAGTGTTCATGACATTCTGAAAAAAAGCCACCCAGTGGACTAGCCCATGTGGACATGCCGTTTATTACTCACATTCCAAGGGCGTGCACCAATGGTGTGATGGTGTGAGAGAGACCACACCTCCTCCAGTCTGAGGCTCATTATAAGGGGCCCAGACAAAGGTAGCCCAGGTCCAGGCTGCACAAACCTGCTCGTGGCCCAGAGCTACATTACCTCAGTTGTGTACATACAGCAAGAACTAGTCACAGGACAAGAAGCCCCACACGAAAGGAGTTAAGGAGAAAGTTACAATCCATTCCCAGAACAATACACATTCCCTTCTCGTCACAGGTGGTGGAAGGCAGTATGTCTTGAGCTACCCCACACTGGGGTTAGGAAATAGGTAGGCAGTCTGAAACTTAAGTCTTTGAGAAGGACAGAAACTGGGGGTCTGAACTCAGTTTCTGTCCTGCAAGACACAGGTTAAACAAGTTAGAAAGGCTGGGTTACTGAGGGACAGATTAGGTCTGTCCCCTTAGGTGACCCCTAGGCTAGAGGGTCACCTGGTTTTCAGGGAGCGCATGCAAAGGGGGCCAGAGGGACAGATCTGGTCTGGGGAGGAGTCTAGGAACCAGGAGTTAGGGAGATGAAAATTTGAGCGGGTGAGGTGTAGAACAGGGGGCTAGAGCTCGGAAGCAGGTTCTCTGAGTGGTATCAGCACTGTATTTGAGTATGCTGGGGATGTTCTGGGGGTCCCCCATGCTAGGACTCCGTAAAAGGGGAAGAATCAGAAGATCTGAGAGCGGTGGAGAGAGCTCCCCATCCTGGGCCTCCAAAGCTAGAGCTGAGCTGAGTGCCCGCGAGCCGCTTCCTCCCACAGGAAACCGCAGGCGGCAGGCACACCCAGCCTGTAGAGAGCATCGCCCACTGCCCGCCCGCTTCCGGGAGACCCAAGTGGGAAGCCGCGGTCCGCTGAGGGGGCGTGCCCGTGGCGCTGGGTGTGGCCTCTTGGGGGCGTGGCGCGGAGACCTCCCGGAGGCCACGCCCACCCCCGCTTCTCATTCATAGACTGGGCAGCAAAGGGTTTTTTGCCGCTACTCTGGAGGCCGTTAGCCGCGCATGCGCAGGGAGTCGCTGCGAGGACCAAAGGTGGTGGTGAGCGCCCCTTCACTGCTCCTGGCGTTGGCACCGCCTCCCTGATAATGAATCCTGAAAATAACGTGCTCTTAATCAGCTTAAGACACGCTTCTCTCTCGGGCAGGGCCCGAAGGTCTCGGCCTAGCTCCAGAGCCTTCCAGGAGTTTCCCTTCAGGTCTGCCATCACAGGGTCTTTCAGCTCCTGCCTCGCCCCCACTCCCGGACACTCACAGCCCGCCCCTCACAGGCAGGCCGTTCGGACCACACGCAGGACCCTCCAGAGTGCTGCCTGGCTAGCGCCGCCCCCCAGGTCTTGGGAACCGGAGACCTTCCAGCGCCCTCCCACCGGCGTCCTCAGGGGCTCTTTTAGCCCCGCCCCCAACCGGCCCTGAAGCCCCGCCCCCTCATGTACACTTGCTCCTCCCCTCGCGTCCCCAGCAACCCCGGCCTTCCTGGGCGCCCGCGCCCCCACCTCACAGCCTTAACTCTTGCGGACTCTCCCAGCTCCGCCCTTCAAGTCGTTCCCAGCCGGGACCCCCAACACCTCCCGGCTCCGCTCCTCGTAGGGCTCGTTCTCAAAGCTCCTGAGACCCCAGCAGGTCTCCTCGCCACTTCCTCCGCCACTTCTTCCAGCTTCCCTTCCCGTGGCCTCTCCTCTCGGCCTGGGTCCCGCCCCGGCCGCTGTCCTCCGGCCTCATTGGCCCCTTATCTCCCCAGTAACCAGACCACAACAACGAGCTAAGAGCACCTAGGACAGGTCAGGCACTCCAACAGGTAGGGACTGGGTCTCACTAGGCACAGCGGGCCTGGGGTTCGTCCTTCCTCTGTGATCCTTGCCCCAAACAGCCGGCCTCAAAGATACTGGGAGCCTAGGGGATCTGTACCTGGCGCCAGAGTCCGAGCCGCGATGCGAGGCAGGGAGTGTGAGAGGCTGGGAGGAGTGTGTGGTGAGGCCAGGAATTGAGAGTCAGAGGTTAGAGCTGGTTCCGGGTCCCCTTCCAATTGTTAGTCCCTCACTCTTCATTGCTCACCTCCTCCCCGTCCTCTCCCGCTCGCTGTCTGAAGGGGCCCTGTGTCACCTCTGCAGGAGTCCCACCCTCTTTGGCTAAGATGCCTTTCGGACTTTCTGCTGGGAGCTCCCGCTCCGAGGATGGAAGCGAGTTCTTCCTGGAGGGAATGGGTAATTCATACATTCTTTATTTCACTCATTCTTTCCCTCCATTTTCCCAAGTTCCAGGTTCTGTGTTGCAGGGCCCCGGGGGCAGGGAGGCCTCCCAGGAGAGAGCTCTTTAGTGGAGGGAGCGGGGGTGGGGGGGTGGGAAATGGAGCTGGAGCTGTTGGGGTGAGCCAGGAAGACTTCCTGCAGGAGGAGACATTCAAGTGGGGCCCCAGGCTCCCCGGAATTACCAAGCGTAGAAGGAAGGAAGAATTTCAGCAGAAAGAACAGCAAGCATGTGTCTAGAGCAGGGTGTCTCTACTCTGCACTGCTGACATTTGGGGTTAGGTAGTCCTTTGTTGGGGGGGGGGACACTGTCCCGTGTGCTGTAGGATGCTTAGCAGCATCCCTGGCCTCTCCACCCACTACTTACCAGTAGCACACTCTGCATCGCCCCCCCCCCCACCATGTGCACCCACATCATCACAATCCAAAAATGTCTCAAGACATTGCCAAGTGTCCATGGGGGGTAGAGTCACTCCAGGTTGAGAACCACTGGGCGGTGGGAGGTGGTGAGCTGGTGGGGGAGACTTGGAGAGGTGGGCAGGACCAGGTCACAGGCTGAGGAGCTGGGGTTTTGGCCTAAGGGTGCTGGAGCGGCAGGGCAGGCCTGTGTGTAGGGGAGGGGCGGGGTTCATTCTGGGCGTAGAAGGCACCCCAGGGGCTCAGAGGGGATGTTGGGCCTTTGGGGAGGAGACTGGGGTGGGGGGTGATCCAGACAGGAGAGGATGAGGCCTGAGCCTAGGAGATGGGCCAAGAATGAGGAGGCTGGAGAAGGGACTGAGGATGGCTGGGCAGTGGGGGGCTGAAGGCGAGGAAGAGAGCAAGGACGCACCTTAGGTCACTAGTCCTCAGCTTTCCCAAGTGCCAGTCCTGCATGATGGGTCGTGAGGACCACGAGGCTTTCCAGGAGCGCCCTCTAGTGGGAAAACGGATGTATGCCCACTAGGGCGAAGGTGGGGGTTCAGCAGGGAAGGTCTCTAGGTCTGCTTGGGGTATAGGGGAGTAAGAAGGGATGTGAAGACTTGAGGCAGTCCTACAGTGGTGTTGGGGTCTGGGTCTGCAGTTCAGTTGCAGCTTGTGAGATCCTAAGGGATCCAGGATTTCTGGGTTCTCAAGAGGAGTGGCCTGAATTCCTATTGAGTCCCTCGCCTGGCCCCTCCCTCAGTAGACTGGGAGCTGAGCCGACTGCAGCGAAGGTGCAAAGTGATGGAGGGTGAAAGGCGGGCCTACAGCAAGGAAGTCAACCAGCGCATCAATAAGCAACTGTGAGCCAAGTGCCTGTGTCTCAGAGCTGGAGAAGGGGATGTTAAAGGGGCTGGGGGCTGGACTCTTGGGTCCAAAGCAGGGGGCAGGCCTAGTGTGTCCAGCCTTCAGTGATGCTGAGCTCTGCCCCTGGCTGGCTTCCCCTCCTTCTCCCTCCTTGGACAGTGCGGAGATCCAGCGCCTACAGAAGGTGCGGGATGAACTTCAGGTGCAGATTGGCATTGCCCAGAGCCAGGTCAAGCATCAGAGGGACAATGAGAGGCTGGGGAACATGGGCCACCTGCTGAAGTGCCGGACTCAGGCGCAGGCCGAGATCAAGGAGCTGCAGGAGCAGACCCGAGCCCTGGACAGGCAGGTGGGTTCTCAGACCAGACTCTGTGGATCCAGCTTAGGACCAATATCTTAACCACTTTGAGTCTTAGCTTCCTCGTCTGAAAAGTGGGGTTACTGAAAGCATGTGTGGCGGAGTGATGCTCAGGCTCCAGTGGGAGGGAGTACAGGTGTTCAGTGACCGGCACAGTGCTATGTGTTTGGGGGCCGGCATGTTAAGGGGAAAGGTTCCCCTTCTGCAGTCCATGCAACCTGTGTTAGGATCCTGGTCCCGCCTGGTCAGTGCTGTGTGACCACAGGCAAGTCTTCGCCTCTCTGGACCCTGGTTCCTTCATCTGCAAATAGAGGATGTTGGTTAATGGAGCAGGGTCTATACAGGTGTTTCATCCCACCTGCCTCAATCACTCGCTATTTGACCTTGGGAACAATGTGACTTTTCGACGTCAGTGTTCTTTCAAGTTTTTGCAACCCTGACTGGGGATGCACACACAGATGCCTGTGGTTATAAGCACATGCACATACATGTCTACCTGAAACAAAGATTTCATCAAATCATACTTTTTTCTATGGGGGATTCATTGTTATTTTCTTTTCTCCTCATTAAAAAAAAGTTGCTTGCCTAGACCAAGCGATTTCTCGCACACTCTGGGATCACAAACTGCAGTTTGAAAGGTACGCGTATTGGTGGTCTATATCAGTTTCCTGTTGCTGCTGTAACAAGTGATCATCAACTGGATGGCTTAAGAGAACATGCATCTATCGTCTTGTAGTGCTGGAGGGAGTCCAAAGTGGGTCTCATCGGGCTAAGATCAGCTTCAGCAGGGCTGCGTTCCCTCCGAAGGCCTCAGGGGAGAACCGATTTCCTGGCCTTTGCCAGCTCCTAGAGAGGCTGCCTGCTCCTTTGACTCGGGGCTCTTGGATCTTCTAAGCTGTCCATGCCCAGCTGAGGTTTTCTTATGAGGCACCACTCTGACCGCTGCTTTTGTCATCTCCTCTTTTCTGATACTGTCCCTCTTTCGCTTATAAGGATGCTTGTGATTATATTAGGCCCTGCCAGAAAATCCAGGATAATCTCATCATCTCAACATCCTTAATTTATTATATCTGCAAAGTCCTTTTTTTGCCACTTAAGATCACATATGTATAGGTTCCAGGGATTAGGATGTGGACATCTTTGGGGGAAGGGAGCATTGTTCTGTCGACTGCATGGTCTATAGTTATTACCTTCGACTTCCAATCAATCAGTTTGCCCAGCTCTCCATATCACCCTGAACTGCCCTTTGGAAGCAGAAACTTGGTTCACACACAGCAGACTTTTGGCTGTCTCCTGGCGGTAGAGTGGCTTAGCGGGTTGGCTGCTTGAATTGGTTTTCCTTAGTCCTCCATGAGGAAACTCAGTCGAGTCAGACCCAAGCGGGATGACTTCATTGTCTTGTCCCCGTGGATTCCTTTGCCCTAACAAACTTGATTACGGAGACTTATAAGCCAAGTGGGGGGCAGGGTCCCCAGAAGAGAGCTCTAGAAACTTCCCTACAGGGCCAAGGAAGGATGTAGTTATCTGGTGACACTCGTTTACTCATCAAATATTTATTGAGTGCTTATTACTAAGTGCCAGGCATTGTTCTAGGTTTTGAGGACACAGCGAACAAAACAGACAAGGGCCCTGCTCTCATGTTGTTTATTCTACTGGAGAGTTGGATGATAAGCCAAATAAAAGCTGACAAAAAGGACTATTCAGAAAAATGCACCCAGAATCCAGCACAGAGGGACAAAAAAAAAAAAAGAGAGAAAAGAAAAAAAGAAATTGGAAGGGTGGTTAAGAAACATTGCAGTGAGGTTAAATATATGTCTAATAAGATTTTTTAAAGAAGACTTTATTTATTTTTAGAGAGAAGGGAAGGGAGGGAGAGAAACATTAATCTGTGGTTGCCTCTCATGCACCCACTACTGGGGACCCAGCCTGCAACCCAGGCATGTGCCCTGACTGGGACTCGAACCAGCGACCCTTTGGTTCACAGGTCAGCGCTCAATCCACTTAGCCACATTAGCCAGGGCTTATGTTTAACAAGAATTTGAGAAGAAAAGAAAGAGAATGGGACAGGGGTAATGTGTGACAAGACAATATCTGAGGGTCCAGAACCAGCAAAAGAACAAATCCACAGATGCAAGGATGCCTTAGAATGCAAAACAGTGAAGCTGTCAACTTAGAATTCTATACCCAGTGAAAATACTCACAAATTAGAGAGCAGAATAGACATTTCATGGCAAAGAAAAATGTAGAGTTGGACATGGTATTTTTCAGAAACCTTGTGTCTTATATGAACTTGAGGCATGAATTCAACAGAACCCCAAAACACTTTCTACATGCTTCCTTTTATTTTTGAACCTATGACATTGGAGACTGATGACAGACAGTCCTTGGACTTGTACCAGTTCATAGTACCAATCTATGTGGATATAAGTAATTGATAAAATTCAGCATCTCCATTGATGTTAAAAATTCTTAGAGCCCTGGCTGGTGTGGCTCAGTGGATTGAGCACTGGCCTGCAAACCAATGGGTTGCAGCTTCAATTCCCAGTCAGGGCACATGCCTGGGTTGCAGGCTGGGTCCCCCGTTGAGGGGTGGGTGAGAGGCAACCACATATTGATGTTTCTCTCCCTCTCTTTCTCCTTCCTTTCCCTTCTTTTAAAATAAATAAAGAAATAAAACCTCTTGGAAAGCCAGAAATGAAAGGAAGTTTCCTGAATTTCTGGATAAAGGGCAACTATAAAGCATCTACAGCAAACATAATTAATGGTGAAATATGGAAAAAATATTTTTGAGGTCAGTAACAATTTAAAGATGTCTGCCAGCATGGCTTCTATTTAACATTGTCCTGGAGATCCTATCCAGTGCTATATGGCAAGGAAAAGAAAAAACAAACAATTTAAAGGTTGGAGAAGAAGACATGAAATTTTCAGTGTTTGTAGATGGTATATTTGTATGCATAGAAGATTCAGAAGAATCTAATGCTAACTTCTAATTCACAAGATATTTTAATAATGTGGCTGGACACAAAATTAATACACAAAGTTAATGACATTTCCCTGTATTAGCAGTAAAATTAGAAAATAAAAGAGAAGACATTTATTTTTATTTATTTTTAGAGAGAAGAGAAGGGAGGGAGAAAGAGAGGGAGAGAAACATCAATATGTGGTTGCCTCTCGCACACCCCCTACTGGGGACCTGGCCTGCAACCCAGGCATGTGCCCTGACTGGAAATTGAACTAGTGACCCTTTGGTTTGCAGACCTGCACTCAATCCACTGAGCCACACAAGCCAGGATCAAGAAAAGACATTTATAGTAGCCAAAAGAAGTACCTAGGAAGAAATCTAACAAAAATGTGCAAAAGTTCTATGGAGTAAATTGTAAATTTTATTGAGGAGTACCACAGAAAAACTTAATAAATGTAGAGATCTACCATATTCATGGATTGGTAGAGTTAGTGTTGTGAATGTCAGATCTCCAAATTGATTTACAGATTCAATGTCACCCCAATCAAAGAACTACAAGCTTTTTTTTAAACTGGATGGAACCGACCAGTGTATTCCAAGCTTTATACAGAAATACAATGAACAGTATGACCAAGATTGGTTTAAAAGAAGAGCAATGTAGAAGCATTTGCTCCACCAGTTGTCAAGATTTAAGTCTTGTAATTGGTGCAGGGCTAATCAAATGGGTCAACAGGACAGAATACAGAGCCCCAGAAGAGCCTTATCTATGTGTGCACACTTGATATGTGACTTCAAGAAACGGGAAAAGGAGGAAGGATGGTTATCTACAGCAAGATGAAGACAGACCCTTACCTCACACTCTGCACCCCCCAAACTAATCCCAGATGGACCAAAGGTCTGAAAGCGGGAGGGCAGGAAGAATTTCTTAAGCTATAGACATCTCTACTTCTAAAAGAAAAGATTGATACATGTCATGATTTTAAAATGTCTGTCAAAATCACCATAAAGGGTGTGCAAAGTCTGGGAATGGAAGGGCATTTGCCACACAGCTGACAAAAGACTGCTATTAAGGCCATATGAGGCACTGTTCCAAGTCATTAAAGAATAAGCCCATTTAAAACACACATGCACACACAAAGGATTTGAGCTGACATATCATACGATAAGAAATTCTGATGTCCGCCCTGGCTGGTGTGGCTCAGTGGATTGAGCACTGGCCTGAGAACCAAAGGGTCGCTGGTTCAATTCCCAGTCAGGGCACATGCCTGGGTTTTGGGACAGGTCCCCAGTTGGGGGTTTTTGATGCGCAATCTACCAATATAGCTCTCGCACATGGGTGTTTCTCTCCCTCTTTCTCCCTCCCTTCTTCTCTCTAAAAATAAATAAATCTTAAAAAAAAAGAAATTCTGATGTCCAATAGATATGTAGGAATTACCATCAATCATTAGTAATCAGAGAAAGACAAATGAAAGTCATGAGATACCATGAAACACTCACTAGATTTTCAAGAATCAGTGTCCAAGCACACCAAGTGTTAGGGAGAGCAGGAACAGTAGGGACTCCTATGAACTGTTGGTGAGAACATAAATCGTTCTGTATATTCTGGAAAGTTTTTCCCCTTATTGCCTAGTACCTTTGAAGACAGACATACCTGAGATGCATGGTGGCATCTATGCGGCACAGTCACCAGAAGCAGTCTTGGGACCCAGTCCACTATAACTCGGCACCAGGTTCACTTGACTTTGTAGGAGAGAGGACTGGAAGCAGCAGCATCTTAGCATGACAGCATCAAACTCCTCTTTCTTGAGGGTCCAGGGGCTGCTTCTCAGCATCTCCAGCTGGATGGCATCACGTGAGTGGGTGGGCGTGCCTACCCTGGCATGGGGAAGCTGCATACATAAGAGTAGCCACCTCTGTAACAGCTCACGGGGGTAGCTTCTCAGCCCCACCAGGAACATGCTCAATTATAAGAAACACCCCACAGGGAAACCAGATTTCTATTCAGTCTTAGTCACGGAGGCCCTTGGGATCCATGAACTCACAATTCCTTCAGGGGTCATTTTTATAAGAAACATTGTTGCCTGGGAACACAGCTGGCATTCCATATTTACCTTAACCCAGTATGTTTCCATGGAAACCAAAGCCATCTTCTAAAAGAAAACAGGTTTATCTGTTCATGTTTCCTCCTGCCCAGCAGTCACGCTTCTGAGTATATGTCCTGGAACCAGGATTCATGTAAAGGAATGTTGAAAGAGGCATTACTCATACAACTAGCTTCAAACTGGAAATGACCAAAATGTGCATCAATATCGAATGAATAAATACATTGTGGTATATTTTTAAAATGAATAGTATACAACAATGAAAAGTGAATGAATCACAATTATACACAGCAACAAGGATGAATTTCACATTAAAAAAAAAATCCTCACCCAAGGACATTTTTTTCCCTTGCTTTTAGGGAGAGAGAAACATCAATGTAAGAGAGAAACATCAATGGGTTGCCTTCCATATGTGCCTGGACAGAGGATTGAACCCACAACCTAGGCATGTTCCCTAGCTGGGAATCGAACCCACAACCTTTCAGTTATGGGACAATGCTCTAATCAACTGAGCCACACAAGCCAAGGTGAACAAGGCTAAATTTCACATCTGAAGGCAGCAAGACATAAACTATATAAGTAGCATTATTTCATTTACATAAAATTCAAAATCAGGCCAAACCAAACTTTTGTTTAGGGGGTTAAATACACAGCTATAAAACAATAAAGAGAGGTAAAAAAAAAATTCACTTAAGGAAACAAAATAACACCCCATCCCAAAGATGTCAGTGTGCTAATCTCTGGAACCTGTGAATGACAAAAGACTCTACAGAGGTGATTAAGGATTTTGAAGTGGAAATATCATCCTGGGTTACCTGGGTGGGCCCAATGTAATCACAAGGGTCCTCAAAAGAGAGGAACAGGAGGGTCAAGATCCGAGAAAGGAATGTGATGGAGAGAGGAGGTTTAACAACAGAGGTGGAGGTGGGAGAGGCCAGAAGCCCAGGAACCTGTAAGCCAGGGAATGCAGCCTCTTGAAACTGGAAAAGGGCAAGGAATGAATTCTCCCCTGGAGCCTCCAGAAAGAACACAGCTCAATCTTATTTTTTAACCCAGTGAAACTGATTGTGGGCTTCTGACCTCCAGGCAGTAAGTCTGTGGTAGTTCCTTACAGCAGCAAAGGGAACAAACAGGCGAGAGCGGTACCCCTGTGGAGGGGGACACAGTAGTGGGGAGAACGGCACGTCTACAGTGCGGCCAGTCCTCCAGTTCTTGAGCTGGCTGGCAGTTCGAGGGTGCTCATTTACAGATAATATATATATATATATGGAGAGAGAGAGAGAGAGCATGGACTGTGAACCAAAGGGTCACCAGTTCTATTCCCAGTTCAAATGCCTGGGTTGTGGGCCAGATCCCCAGTGGGGGCATGTGAGAGGCAACCACACATTGATGTTTCTCTCCCTCTCTTTCTCCCTCCCTTCCCCTCTCTAAAAATAAATTAAAAAATCTTTTTAAAAAGAATGTACACATATACATTACACAGTACATACAGGACCTGTGCACTTTTCTGTCTACAATAACATTTTAAAAGGATAAAACCATCACAGACCTAAACATAAACCCTAAAACTTCTGGAAAGAAACATAAGAGAAAATCTTGAAGAGCTTGGGTTAAGCAAAGGTTTCTTAGATGTGAGACCAAAAGTATGATCCATAAAAGGACATGTGGATGTATTTGATGCCATAAAATTTAAAAACTTTTTTTTTAGAAGATAAAGTTCAGAGAGTGAAAAGGCAAGCCCTGTACCAGGCAAAAATGTTTTCAAAGTACATTTCTGATGAAAACAAAACTTGTATCTGGAAAATGTTAGGAACTCTCAAACTCAATGTGAAACAAACAACCCAGGAGGAAAAATGAGCAAAAGAATGGAACCAACTTCACCAAATATGCAAGATGGCAATCAGCACAGGAAAGACGCTCTGCAGTGTTAGTCACTGGGGAAATGCAACTTAAAATAATGAGATACTTCTACACGCTTACTAGAATGGCTGACCATACCGAGTGCTGGCGAGGATGCGGTGGAACCAGAACTCTTGTACCCTGCTGGTGGGAATGTACACGGTGCCACCACTTTGGAGAACAGTTCTACAGTTTCTAAAAAAGTATCCATACACCTGCCGTGTAATTCAGATATGCCACTCCTAGGGCTTTGCCCAAGGGAAAAGAAAGCGTATGTTCGTTCATACAATGAAGTGTATATCAATGTTCATAACAACTTTATCTGTGAAATTCAAAGTGGAAACAGCCCAAATGTCCGCCAGCAGGTGAATGGATAAACAAACAGCGGTATATCCATTCAATGGAACACTACTCTCCAATTTCCTGAGGAGGGATGGGCTGTCCATACACCCAACAGCATGGATGGACCTCAGAATAACTGTTCTGAGTAAAAGAAGCCAGATCCCTCTCCTCAAAAAAGAATATATACTATGTGATTCCATTTAACATAAAACTCTGGGAAATGGGGAGTAGCCCTGGCTGGTATGGCTCAGCAGCATCTGCCCAATCTCTGCTTTCATGTTCACATGGTGTTCTCCCCGTGTGCACACCTGTGTGTGCGCACAGACACCGCTCCCACTGGATGAGGGCCCACCCTAAGGAGCTAATTTTTAAAAAATTTTTATTTAATTTTTTTAGAGAGAGTGGAAGGGAAGGAGAAAGAGAGGGAGAGAAACATCAATGTGTGGTTGCCTCTCGCATGCCACTCCCCACCACTGGGGACCCGGCCTGCAACCCAGGCATGTGCCCTGCCTGGGAATCGAACCTGCTACCCTTTGGTTCTCAGGCTAGCACTCAACCCACTGAGCCACACCAGCCAGGGCTTAGCTTATGTGTTTTGTTGAGCATCTATTTTATGTCAGACATACACAAAAAAATGAAAATCTGCCCTTGTGGAGCTTCCAGTTGAGTCAGGGAAACAGCATAGCCTGAATCAGTAATGATGAATATGGAAATGGGGACAGATTGGAAGCTGGTTTCAGCAGAACAGACCCGGGGACTCTGGTGGCATCGGGGCTCATTCTCGCTATCTCTCAGTCTCTTGTCTCCACTGTGTCTATGGGCCTTGTTCTCCCAGGATGTTCGGTGAGATGGAGACTGTGACAGAGGGACACCTGGAGTATCATCTGTCCAGCTCATGCACTTCCCCCCAAATACCAGGAAAGGGTGCAGACTGGCTCAGCCTGGGTCGCACGTCCATCTCCAAGACCGCCCCTGGGTCATGTGGCTGGCAGGGTGGCTTGTGGTTGGAAGCCAGATCCACGTGGAAGGTTGGGGAGTGTCAGCAGAAGGGTAGAGCAGGGGGCTGGGGCCACAAGGATGGCTGATGTCCACCATGCTCAGCCACTCCCTCTCCCACTCATCTCTTTCCTCGCTCTTTCAATCTCTCCCACATTCAGCTGACAAACAGGCACCCTCTCCTTTCCTCCAGATCCAGGAGTGGGAGATGCGGATCTCTGTCCTCAGTAAGGATTGCAGGGCCCCGGGAGTCGTCCTGGATCAGAAGGCCAAGATCCAGAGAAGGATCAAGGTCATGGAAAACCAGCTGGACAAGGTGAGGGGGCAGCCTTGTGACTTTCCAGGCCTGAATGCTGCGTTTGGGGGAAGGATGAGCATGGGGCCAAGTTCTGGGAACAGTGGACCAGGTTCCTGGATGCGGGAAGGCCTGAGACACCGAGGGGGTCAGGAGACAGGATCCCGGAGGGGGAGGAGGGCCCCCAAGGAAAGGAGACTGATGCTTGTGCTCTTAAGGTGGGCCTGGGCGGTGCTCTCAGGGTCCCCAAACTGGAAACGGGCCCCCTGCCTGACAGGAGCCCCCTCCTTGCCTCCTGTCCCACACCGTGCCCCCCCAGGTCACCTGTCGCTTTGACATCCAGCTGGTGCGGAACGCAGCCCTGAGGGAGGAGCTGGATATCCTGCTGATTGAGCGGAACCACTATATGAACGTGGACCGCAAGCTGCAGAAGGTGAGGGGCCCTCCAAGCCAGGACCCCTTGGCCCTGCTGAGGCGGAGGAGAGGACAAGAGTCACCCTGCCTTTTTCCAACACTCAGGCCACAAATACGGGATCGACGAAACCGTGGGTTTACTTTAGTTCAGGGGGAATGGAGACCCAGAAAGTGGTTCAGGGCGCCTCTGGAAGAGAAAGCAGAGCCCTGGCTTGTGCGGCTCAGTTAGTTGAAGTATCGTTGCATATACCAGAGGGCTGTGGTTCCCACTGCTGGTCAGGGCACATGCCTAGGGTGCGTGTTCCATCCTGGGTTGGAACACATGGGAGGCAACCGATTGAAGTTTCTCTCTCACATCGATGCTCTCTCTCTCTCTCTGTCTCCCTTTCCCTCCCTCCCCCACCTCTGGAGTGAGTGGACATATCTTTGGGTGATGATTTAAAAAAAAAGAGAGAGAGACCTGACCAGTATGGCTCAGTAGGTTGGGCATCATCCTGCAAAGAGAAAGGTCACGGGTTTGATTCCCAGTTAGGGCACATGCTGGGGCTGCAGGTTTGGTTCCCAGTCAGGGTACGTACGAGAGTCAACCAGTCAACGTTTCTCTCTCACATCGATGTTTCTCTGCCTGTCTTCCCCCCTCCCTTCCCCTCTCTCTAAAAATAAATAAATAAAACCTTAAAAAGAAAGGAAAAGAAAGCAGAGATGTCATTTTGACAGTTATCACCCAGGGCAACCACTGAGTAAGCCCGAGCACTTCTGTCCCATGGGTTTCTCGGTAACCATCATGGTCCTTTGAAGCATCCCCCCTCCTCCCTCTCGTTCCTCTTCCCTGCAAGGATAGAACAAAGAACTCCCTATCCCTCACCCAAATCGGTACTTTGCCACATTTACTCTGTGTACTTACTATTTCTACTGAAAATAACTTATTATTACACTTGCTATAAACTATTTGAGGGTCCAGAGCAGACACCAGGTCTCTAAGAACTTCGGTGTGTATTTCCTGAAAACAAGACCATTTTCCTAGTAAATACAGTGCGGTTCTCCAAGTCAGAGGCTTTAAGAGCATTACAGTTCTAAACAGTCTACATTTCGAGTTCCAGATTGTCCCAGGGACGACCTTTGCAGCTAATTTGATTTTTGGCTCCAGGCTGCAGGCCAGGAACCCACGTTGTCCTGGCCCCGCTCGCTGCAGCGGTCCCTTGGCCCTTCTCTTCGTCATGACTTTGATATTCTGGAAGCACCCGGGCCAGCTGTGTTGTATGAGGTCCCTCCGTATGGTGTTTCTGCTCTTTCTTTGTGATGTGGTCAGGTCGTGTGTTTCTGGCAGATGGCCACCCAGGTGACACTGTGTCCTCTGTGTACATTATTACCAGGAGGCACATGATGTCCGTTTGGCCTGGAACTAGGGACACTGACTTTGAGCCAGGTTTTTCCAATATAGTGTGTTCCTCTCTGTAAGAAGTAAGCAGCCCAGGGAGATTCTCGGAGACTATGCGAATATCCTGTTCATGTACCTCTTTCAACATCCGTGAATGAGCCCAGGCTGGTGTGGCTCAGTGGATTGAGCGCAGGCCTGTGAACCAAAGGGCTGCTGGTTCTATTCCCACTCAGGGCACACGCCTGGGTTGTGGGCCAGGTCCCCAGTAGGGGGTGCACGAGAGGCAACCACACATGGATGGTCCTCTCCCTCTCTCCCTCCCTTCCCTTCTCTCTAAAAATAGTAAGTAAAATCTTTAAAAAACAAAACAAAAAAAATCCATGCATGATTCTTGTCCAAATAATTATCACTGTAATGATAGCCACTTGGTGACTTCCTATGTCTACCATTTCTTCTACATTCATAAGGTGCCCAGGAAAAGCCTGGCCTTCTCCCTGTATATTTATGTGATCAGTGAGCATTCGTGTATTCTTACTTTACTCTGTGGGTCAGAATCCGCAGTGGTGATTGTTCATCATGCTGTTCAGACTGTCCCAGATCTGGTTAGCGGGAGCCCCTTTAAGCTCCATTCTGGGTCCTTTAGACATGCACATTGTTCATTCGAGCCCGTCCTTTCTGGTACAGGAAGATGTTCCAGATTATCTCATACTTGCTCTGTCGGAACTCTTTAAAAAAATTTTTTTTATTTATTTTTAGAGAGAGGGGAAGGAAGAGAGAGAGAGGGAGAGAAGCATCAATGTGTGGTTGCCTCTCACATGCCCGCCACTGGGGACCTGGCCCACAACCCAGGCACATGCCCTGACTGGGAATCCAAACTGCGACCTTTCGCTTTGAGGAACAACGCCCAACCAAACAAACCACCCTGGTCAGGGAGTGGTTTTGTTCTTTGGTCGAAATATAGTTGGGCTCATTTGTTTCACTTTGCATCCAGTTGTAGTTCTCACTCCTACTGTAATTTTCTTTTTGAACATGTGCACCAGTAACAGAGTTCCCATATCAGAATTGCTCTGGCAGGTATTGTGGGCGGGGGGGCGGGGGAGGGAACCATTCCCTCACCCCCTCTTCCACTTCATGCCCCCCCAGACTCTGTAGTTTCTGGTTACCCACCCCAGGTTTCCTGAATGTGTGTGTAGCGTGTATACATGCATCATGCATATGTACATAGCATGTATATTGCTATATAAATGTATGTCAACACATCACATGTGCATATATGCATGTGTGCATGTCTATGGTGCATATACATGGATACATGCACACATTATACATGCATGAAAAAATATATAATTTCCTCCCTTTATCTCCCGAAAGAACCCTTTTTATTCAAAAACTGCAAAGTCATTTCTGTGGAAGCAGAAAGCAGATGAGTGTGGTCGCAATGATGAAAATCTCACAAATTTCTGACTCGAGCAGGGCAGGTCGACGCTCTCAGCAATGTTCTGGCTCGAGCGTCTTGCTGGGATAAGCCCTCTGAGCCCCATCCAGCTCAGCGGTCGGGGCCTCTCTCAAATCCCTCTGCTGGCGGCGGCTGCTAATCAGACGGCTCCATAGTCACAGGCACCAAAGTCCCACCGGTCCCTGGGGGAGCGGGGCGGAGGAAGCCCCACGGTCCCCATGGGCAGCTTCTGCTTTGTTCCCTCGGCAGGAGATCCGGCACCTGCGGCACATGATCAGCGGCCTCATTTTCTCCTCCACCTCGGCCTACTCCGTCAGGTAGGGCCCTCGCGGGCTTCCCGGACCGGGTGGCCCAGTCACTCGGTCCACAGCCTTCCTTCTTTTCTTTAAAATGTAAATATTTATTGTTTGTGCTGTTACAGTTGTCCCAGTTTTCCCCCTTTGCCTCCCCCCACCCAGTCCACTTTCCACGCCCTCGGTGAATCCCCACCCCCTCATCGTGCCCATGGGTTATGCATTTATATTGTTTCACTAATCTCTTCACCTCCTTTCATCCAGTCGCTCTCCCCCGCCCCTCTCACAGCTGTCGGTCTGCTCCATGTCTCTGTGCCCCTGGTTCTGTTTTGCTCATTTATCTTGCTCATTAGATTCCACTTATAAGTGAGATCATGTGGTGTTTGTCTTTCACCAACTAGTCAGCTTCACTTAGCATAACAGTCTCCGGGTCTGCCTGTGCTGTGGCAAAAGGTAAGAATTCCTTCTTTTTTACTGCTGCGTAGTATTCCATTGTGTAAATGTACCCCAGTTTTTTTTATCCATTCATCTGCTGCTGGGCACTTGGGCTGCTTCCAAGTCTTGGCTATTGTAAACAACCCTGCTATGAACACAGGGGTGCTGTATCCTTTCTGATTAGTGTTTCAGGATTCTTAGGGTGTATTCCCAAAAGTGGAATTGCTGGGTCAAAAGGCAGTTCCGTTTTTAACTTTTTGAGGAAGTTCCATACTGTTTTCCACAGTGGCTGCACTGGTCTGCATTCCCACCGACAGTGCACAAGTGTTCATCCTCACCAGCACTTGTTTGTTGACTTACTGATGACAGCCATTCCAACAGGCGCGAGGTGGCATCTCATTGTGGTTTTATTTTCTGATGACTAGCGACATTGAGCATCTTTTCATGTCTCTGGGCCCTTCGTATGTCCTCCTTGGAGAAGTGTCTATTAAGGTTCTTCACCCATTTTTTTGGGTGGGGGATTGTTTGTCTCTCCGGTGTTGAGCTGTGTAAGTTCTTTACATATTCAGTCCCCACCTTTCATACAGCAGTGGTGGGAGGTTCCAAACTCAAGAAATTGACCATCTGAGCCTACGCTGTTTTCCATAAGGTGCCCCTTTCTCTCCACTGATTTCCCAGCAACCTCATGTGTGTGAATTCACCAGCCTCTTTGGTCCCAGCCTGTCCATGGGGATGCGGAGACGGTTAAGTGAGACAGTGCACACAGCCCATGCAGCACGGGGCCTGGGACTGGGAAGCATCGGTCAATGAGCGCCATTAACGTGGTTGACAGGGACAGAGAGTCTCTCCGACCACCGGCAGATAAAGAGACGAGAGTGGAACAGAGGGCCCACCCGCTCTGCTTGTCGCTCTGTCTCCGTCTCTGTGGCTTTCGTGGGCTCCATGGCCTGCTTCCCCTGACCTCGTTCCTTCTGGGCTTCAGCCCTGTTCTCCGACCCCAAAAGGTTCCCTCCGTCTGCTCAGTGTCTGGTTTCTACCTCGTGACTTCCGCTGGCTCAGAGCTTGTGGTTGCTCCTGACCTCCACTATAGCGCAGATGGTGCCTTATGGTCTTGGTGCTTTGTCAGGACGCACATGCAACGCCCCCCACCCCGTCTGCAAGTGTGCGGTTCACTTCTGTCCAGATGGAGAACACCGTCGTCACCCCAGAAGAAACCTGTTCCCATTAACCACGAGTTCCCTTCCCGTCTCTGTGGATCTACCTGTTCTAGACAGGCCATCAAATGTCATCATACAACGGTGCAACTGTTTGGGTCTGATTTCCTTCACCTAACACAATGCTCCTGAGGTTCATCTCTGGAGGGGGCACGAGTCAGCTCCTCCTGCCTTTTCATGGCCGATTCTGTCCTTTCCTCCGTCATGACCCCTTCCGATCCCTGTCTGGGCTGCGCGGCTTCTGCTCGCTCGCACACAGCTCTGGTTTCTTCCTGACTTGGCCTTCCTGCCGCGACCTGTTGTGGCTCCTCTCTCTACGTACGTGTACTTTCAGCTCCAGGTGCTATCCTCAGTGTCTCCCAGTGAACTTCCCGAGGGAGACGCTCCGACTGGCCCGGCACATCTTCCCTGCCGGGCTCCACGGGTGATGCCCGCTGGCCTGTGGGTACGTCACCAGCGCCCAGCCCCCGCCAGCGCCCCCTCACTGGCTGGCAGTGGGCAGCCTCACTGGGTCAAGGACAGCGTGGTTTCAGCTAGAAGGTGGGCAGGCACCATCACTGCTGACACTTTCGATCAGAGCAGGCGGTGTCGCCAGTGCTACCTGGGTCAGGTTACGTGCCCTCTCTGAACTTCCACGTGAGGTGGCAATAATCATGGTCTCTACCTCACTGCGGGGAGGGCGCAGAGCGCCCCCTGCAGGGCCTGGATCTTAGGTGGTGGGGCTCCCTCTTCCATGCCCCGCAGCCGGCAGGGAGCCCAGGGCGCAGAAAGAGATGTGAGCCCTGACCCCGTAGGGGCTGCCACTAGAGGCAGGAGGGTTCCCTGGGACTGGGGGTGGGGGGGACGGCGGGGGGGCTGCCACGGAGGCTTCCCGCCGAGGAGGGCTGAGCTGAGCAACCTTCGAGGACTCTGAACAGAGCCGGAAGTGGGGGTCTGCGTGGAGGCCACCAAAGCCAGCAAAGGTGTGGTGGTGAGAGCGCTATGGTGTGTGGGCGGGGGTGGAGCAGACTGGCGCTTGCTCTCCCAGCCCAATGACCGTCTGGCTTTTTCCTGTGACCTGGAAAGGATGCTCCGGGCCACTGAAAAGCCAAGAAGCTACATTTTCAGATGTGCAGGCCATGGCAGGTTCAGTGAGTGAGGTGTCCAGGGTGTCCTCACAGGGCACGCCCCAGTGCTGGTGGCGTCCTCTCCCCATCCAGCATGAGGTCCTGAATGGTCCAAGCCCCTTATATTTCCAACCACATGACCCTGAGACTGCAGCAGGATGGGACCTCCCTGACATGGTCCGACCATCCTCTCCCACTGTGCGGTCCTGGCCCTCTTGCCTCCCGCTCCTCGGGTCACACAGTCAAGCCCGCCTCCCAGATGCCCCTGTGAGCTGCTAGCCAGGGAAGAGCTTCCAGCTGTAATAAAGAACTGGATGCATTTATTTGAGCAAAAGGATTACAATCAGGCAGACTCGGGCACAGGCAGCCACTCAGCTGGCTCTGGAGGGAAGGCAGAAAGGCAGGTGTGTAAAGGCAACACCCACGAAGCGTGCTTCTCTCACGCAGAGGAAGACTGGCTGGCTCGGGATTCGAGAGGAGGAAATCGAGTGCATAAAACCCATGCACCAGCTGCTGTGCTAGGACGTTTATGGCTCTAGGCTGTGTAAAGCTCAGCCTCGAACTGAGTTTAGCAACAGGTTTAGCAACTTAATAGCAGCCCTGAGGACTGGGGCAGGAGACATGCACCAGCCCCACTTCCCTAACGGCCTCCAACGCTGACTGAAGCGACTCTCTTAGCAATGCCTGCTCGGTTTTATCGTGTCTCTTGTCAGCATGCGGTGCAGCAGCGCCCCTTGCATGGCCTAGCACTGCCTCCCAGGCCCGGACTCTGCCCCATAAGCGCATCCTGACCCATCTCTAGCACGGGAAAGTTTTCTGCCTTTTGTGATCTCATGGTAACCCCATCCTTGGGACCCCAGATTGACCCTGTCCATCCACCCGCGACCCCAGACTGGACTCACTCTCCCTGGGAAACCCAGGTTGATCCCGCCCACTCCGGAGACCCCAGGCTGGCCCCAGTCCGACCTCCAATCTCCCTGACCCGACTGACCTCCCCCAGGGAGGAGGCGAAGGCCAAGATGGACATGCTGAGGGAGAGGGCGGACAAGGAGGTGGTGCAGAACCAGACGGAGGTGCAGACCCTGCAGCGGCACATCGCGCACCTGGAGCAGCTGCACCGCTTCCTCAAGCTCAAGAACAACGATCGGCGTCCGGATCCGTCTGTCGTGGAGAAGCGCGAGAGACGGGGTGAGGCCAGGGATGCCACCTCCGCACCCCACAGGCCAGCTCCGCCCCCTGACCCCCGCCCGGCCCAGGGGCACAGCGTGTCTCCAGGCCTCGCTCAGAGCACAGGGCCAGAGAGGCCTGCAGGGGGCACTGGAGAGCACGGCGGGTGGGGGGGCGTAGGGGGTGGGTAGGGGGTAGTGTTTGCAGGGCGCACAGGGGTCTTGGCTCTCTCCAAGAGCCCCCTCTGGGCTAATGGCTGCCCCGAACTCGGACCTCACCGCCCCTCTCCCCGCAGCCCGGGAGGTGGCCCAGGGCCTCCGGAAGACCTCCCAGGAGAAGCTGGTGTTGCGGTATGAGGACACCCTGAGCAAACTGTCCCAGCTGACCGGGGAGAGCGACCTGGACCTGATGGTGGACAAGTACCTGGAGAGTGAGTGCCTGGTGCCCCGGGGTGGGGGCGAGGAGTGGACCTCGGCACACCGGGCAGGGGCACGCCGTGCTCTGTCTCCGCCAGTGCTCTGTCTCCGCCACCGGGGGCCCTGGCGACCCCTGCACCTGCGCTGGACGAACAGGCTGGTTCTACACGCACCTCTTACCGTGCGCCCGCCTCTGCTCTCTTCTCTCCCTGCCCATCCCCCATGTCCCGTCTCTTTCCTTCCATTTGTCTCCCTCTTCGCTGCATCTGTCTGTTCTCTCCGAGTGTCTGTATCTCTATCTTTTTATTTCTGTCGGATTTCGCTGGGCATGGGTGTCTCCCGCCTCCTCTGTGTCCCCGTGTCCCTGTCCCCTTTCCTCCCTGCTCTCTGCTGTCATTCCCCTGCCTGCGAATCACTCTCCAAATCCACCCCCTGCTTCTCACTCGTGTCCCTGTTGTCCTCTGTCCCCGGGTCTCATGGTCTCTCTGACCCACTGACACCACTTCCTCTCCCTCACGTCTGTGTGTCTCCGTCTGTCTGGGTATTTCTGGTTCTTCGTGACTTTCTCTCTGCTGCTCCCTCTCACTCTGACGTTCTCTGACTTGCCTTTCTCTGCCTGGACCTCTCCGGCTCTGTGCCCCTGTGTTGTCTATCTCAACGTCTCTTTCTCTGTCCTCCTGTGTATTTCTCTGTCCCCATGTCTCTGGACCCCGCCTTTCCTTCCCCCGCCGTCCCCCTAGTGGAGGGACGCAACTTCGCTGAGTTCACCTTCATCAATGAGCAGAACTCCGAGCTCGAGCGTGTGCAGGAGGAGATCAAGGAGGTGGGTGAGACCCACCAGTCCCTGCGCCCCCCCTCTCCCACACCCTTTCTCGTTGCCTCTGCACCCATCCCCTCCTCGGCCCATGAGACCCCTCTGCCTGAGCTGCGCCCAGCCTCCCGCCCCTGCCCCATAGATGCAGGAGTCCATGGAGAGCATGCGCACCAGTGAGGCCGCCCGGCGGTCGCTGCAAGAGGAGCAGAGGGTGGCCTTGCAGCAGAGCATAGAAGGGGTGTGCTTGGAGGCGGACAACCTGGAGGCCCGCTCCCAGGAGTTTCGGAGGCGGCTGGAGAAGCTCAAGGCTGGTGAGCACCCGCCCCTCATCTTCATCTGGGAGGATGTGATGAGCATTCGAGGTGCCCACGAAGGACTTTGCTCGCTCACTTCTTTGTCCATTGCATATCCATCATCCATTCATCCATCTATTCATCTGTCTACCAGTGTTCATCCATCCATCCACCCATCCATCCACCCATTCATCCATCCATCCATCCACCCATTCATCCATCCATTCATATGTCTACCAGTGTTCATCCATCCATCTACCCACCCATCCATCTATTCACCCAACCATCCATCCAGTATTCATCGCCCCCTCATCCCTCCAGTGAAGGGCACTAATGAGTCAGGCTGCCCTGGGCTTGAATCCAGCTCCTCCCTGGTGGACCGTGGTGTGTAGTTTCCTCCGTCTGACGCTCTCTGGAAACGCGGTGCAGTGCCTACTTCATAGGGTGGCCACGAAGAGTAGATGAGGTGACAGATCACAAGACATAAGGGTGGAGAGAGACAGAAAGGTGGCAGTGCAATGGGGAGCAAGCAGGAAAGCCACCTCCTGGCACACAGGAGGGGCGCAGTTACTGGCAGACCCGCCTCCCCCGTTGTCCAGGCTGCTGTGCCGAGGCCCGCGCTGGGTGCAGTGGACCTGGTAGGCGCGGCTGGGCTGAGGAGCCTCAGACACTGGCTGCTTGTGTCCCAGGGGCTGGGATGGAGCTGCCCTGGGGCCTTTGAGGCAGGAGTGGGTTGTGACTTGGTGTGGCGGGTGGGACTATAATTTTGGGGGCCCAGTGCAGAATAAAATGTGAGACCCCTTAATAAAATGTGCGTCAAGAATTTCAAGGTGGCAACAGCAGAGCTGAAAGCAAATGCAGGGCTCCTCTGAGCACGGGGCCCTGCGCCACTGCCCAGCAGCACATCTGCGACAGCAGCTCCTCTGGGGTGATGGGGAGGCTTCCTGGGAGCAGCAAAGCTCCTTGCCGACCCTGAAGGCTGAGTATTTAACTGAAAAACTGTGGAGGGGCTGCTCCCAGCAGGTGGGTGGGCCAAGGCCAGGAGGGACCTTCACATCACCCTCACCATCATGGGGTTCTCTGTGCAGAGAGGGCAATACAGGTGCAAGAGGGCCAGGCTGAGGCACTTCCTGGAGGTGCTGGGGAGCCATGGGGGGCGGGGGTTGTGGGCAGGACAGGGTGGTGAGCAGGGAGGTCAGGGGGCGGTGGACTGTGAGGAGGGGTGGAGGGGTGAGAACCATGGGCCAGGGGGATAAGGGGCAAGATGGGCCAGGTCCGGCCTGGTGAGGGTGAGGCCCATCCTTGAGGGGGAGTGGGGTTGGGGTGGCCCAGAGCTCAGTGTGGGTGGCCTGGGGAGTGTTCTGGGAGGGACCCCGGGAGGAAATTGTATGTGTGAGCCTGGCACTCCGGGGAGGAAGCACAGGGACGGTCGGCGGGCATGTCCGCTGTATGGTTAGGCGCAGGTTCTCCACAGGGTCACGGCACCTTCGTATTGCACAAACAACAACCCGTTAACTAACCACAGGGAAGCGGGTGCTGCCCGGGCCAGCTGTGTGAGGGGGTCACAGCAGTGACCTGACTCAGCCGGGGACAGTGGTCCATGCAGCCGCACACACCTGGAGCCCCGTGTTGGAGAAAGCGTGTGTGCCGCTGGGGGAGAGCCTGAGCTGCCAGGTCCTGTGCGAGGAGGGCACTGCGGGCGCAACTGCGGCAGGAAGGCTCTGGGGAAGGGACCCTTCAGCTTCCCTTGGCCACCCCTCGCCCTCGGTTCTGAGCCCCGCTCCGGGCACACAGCGACCCCCCCTCCCCCCACCCCCACACACACTGCCTGACAGCGCCTGGAGACTTCCTCAAACCTCGCTCGCTGTCTCCCTGCGTGTGGACTCGAGGGAAGCGGGGCGCTGGCCCCCAGCGGGCTGCGGACCCGTGACACCCTGTCCCGCACCCCAGGAATCCAGCAGCTCTTCACCAGGGCCCACTGCGACAGCACCATCATCGACGACCTCCTGGGGGTCAAGACCCGCATGCGGGACCGCGACATCAGCCTCTTCCTGAGCCTCATTGAGAAGCGCCTGGTGGAGCTCCTGACGGTGCAGGCCTTCCTAGACGCCCAGGTGGGGCGGCAGGGGGTGCGCAGGGGACAGGGCGCCCCCTGCCTTGGAGTCCAGGGCCACCGGGACTGGCCCGAGCTGACTGCCGGCTCTTGCCCTCCAGGGCTACACCAGCTCCAGCCTGGTGAACGCTGCCCTCCTGGTGCTGGGCCAGAGCCTCGAGGATGCGCCAAAGAAGGTGGCCCCACCTCAGCTCCCGGACAATCTGTGAGGCACAGGGCGAGGGGGAGGTGGAAGGGGACGGGGACTCCCTGTAGCAGTGGGGACGAGGGGGATGCAGGATTTGAGGGGGCCTCTTCGGTCTAGAGCACGGGTGTGGCTCTGGGTGGGTGGGGGAGATGATGGAGTGGGTGCTTAGGGGAAACAGAGTAGGGGCTCCCCGGGGGTGGTGTGGAACGGTGGCCCTGGGGACTCCAGAGGGACAACGCACGCTGGCCAGGGCACGCTGCGGGTCTCAGGTATGGCGATGGGGGGTCATCAGGCTTTCGAGGGTGGAGGGTGTAGTCTCTTCCTGCCTTTCCCCTGCTTCAGGGAGGAACCCCCAGGCTTTGAGGCCAAAGAAGACTATCCCATGAGCAAGGAGGAGCTGCTGAGCCACGTGAAGAAGGCGGTGAGGCACTGGAGCCTGAGGGGGCGGGGCGAGGGGCGGGGGGCGGGGCCTCCGACCTCCTCCAGGGCCTAACTCCCCTGCCCGGCAGCTGGAGGCCCGGGAGCTGGCCCGGGACCAGCCCATGAAGGAGCTGGTGGAAGTGGTGAAGAAGGTGGACAGCAGCCAGAACCTAGCCCTGTCCGGCAGCCAGAAGGCCGGCTCAGGCATGCCACTGGAGACCGTCAAGAGCTCTGCTACGGCCCCCGGGTCCGTCTTCAGCAGCAGGACTAATGGTATCCTCGTGTCCAGTGGAGGCCGTGCCACCAGCTCCAACGTTGGCCACGTCACCTTTGGTGACCCCAGCTCCAGTGCAGGCAATGTGACTGTGCCTGGCTCCACCAGTGCCAGCCCGGTCTCAACTGGGGGCCGCGTGACCTTCAGATCCCCCAGCCCGAGCAGCTACCTGGGGTCCACGGGGTACCTGGAGTCCAGCAGAGCTCCCGAGAGCTTTGGAGGTGCGCAGATCAGGGGCACTGTGTCGGAATCGAGCACCGGCCCCACCTCCAGCACCGGTCCCACCTCCAGCACCGGCCCCAGCTCCGCCGCGAGCAGAGACTCAGGGAGCAATGACTAGGGCGCCCAACACCCCGCCCCTGCCCTGGCCCCTGCTCCCGCAGAGCTGACTGGAGTGTCTCTGCCCGCCCCTTCCCTGGTTTTCCCTGTGGCTCCGTCTTTCTCTCCCACTTCCAGGCTTCAGGTCTCTCTGCTCCCACAGCTGTCTCTGCCACCCCTCCATGTGACCCGGTGTCTGTTTCTGTGGGCTCTTCGTCATCCCATCTCTGTCTCCTGGTCTCACTCCCTGTTCCACGTTCCATACCCTCCCCTTTCAGCCTTCCAACCCCCTGCTATTTCCCACTCAGTGTGTCTCTGGCTCGTCCCATGTCCATCCACCCTTCTCTGCTCTGATCTCTCTGGTTCTCCCCACCTCCTGCTTCTGCCTCCCCATTTCCATTTCCTTCTCCTCATCCGCATCTCTCCAGCTCTCCCGGCATCTCATGTCCCTGTCTCAGTAGCTCCTCATTCCCGGCCTCACCCCCAGCAAGGGCCCCCAGTACTGACTGTGGGGGAAGAGTTGGGGCAAGGAGATTGGGATCAGCATGAGCTGTGACCATAGGAAATAAAGGTCAGAGCCCAACTTTTCCCCCAGCCTGGTGACAAGTGTCTATGTGAGAGAGCATTCAAGAGACATGGCTGTTCCCCTACCTGCATGGCCCAGGGGGACATTTATGGCCCTGTTCATTCATTCATTCATTCAGCCTTTCATTTTGTTGACACCTCCCTACGCCAGGCTTTTCTGAGAACCAGGTGCTGTATCAGTCAGGATGGGCTGGGTTGTGCTGTAGTAACAAACAACTCCAGGATCTCAGTGGCCTAATGCAACAAAGGTTTATTACTTCCTCATGCTATTAGCCTGTTGTGGGTCAGCTGAGGGCTGGGCTCCACCCACCCTTTGTCCCAGGCAGACGGAGCAGCACCTGTTTGGGGGGATGCAGTCTGTTGCTGGGAAACAGAAAAACAGCAAAGCTGCAATGACTCTTCATCCTCCTACCTGGATACGATACATGTCAATTCTGCTCATGTTTACTGATTCGAGCAGGTCATATGACCACATCTCATTTCCAGTGGGGGTGGGAAGTGCAATCTGGAAGGAGAGGTGGAAAGGAATATGTGCAGAAGAGCCTAATGCCTGCCTTAGGGTCCCGGAGGGAAAGCAGACTGTCCCCTTCCTGCTGTGGGGTGGGCTTGGGAGTGAGAGGGCCTTGAACGCCATGGAGAACTCCCTCCTGCCATCGTCAGATGCCCTGTCAAAGTACAATGCAGCCAAACCGAGATGGATAGTCCACTGTCCATCTTCCTAACCCGGGAAGGTAACTCCCCAGGTCTCGTTCCCTTAAAATGAGTTAATAATAGTCCCCACCTCAGAGTTGTTTTTTTTTTTTTAAGCATATAAAGAATTGGTGCATGTAAAGCCTTAGAATGGGCACATACTAAATGCTGACAACTGTTCATGATTATGATGGTGATGAAGATGAAAACTAATATAGCATTTTTTCCCTTCATTTATTTTTTAAAGATTGTATGTATTTATTTTTAGAGAGGGGAAGAGAGGGAGAAAGAGAGGGAAACATCATGTGTGGTTGCCTCTCACACGCCCCCTACCGGGGACCTGGCTCTCAACCCAAGCATGTGCCCTGATTGGGAATCAAACTGGTGACCCTTTGGTTCACAGGCCGGCACTCAATCCACTGAGCTACACCAGCCATGGTGTATTTTCTATTCTGTACAGAAGATTGCATCTTGCTCTCCCTTCATGTGACCCTACACCCGGGTGAGGCTAGCCCAGTCTGTGGGTAAATGTGTAGCAACTAGCTCTTTAGGGGGAAAAAAAATCCTAACTTGCAATGTGCATCCATTTCTGTGGTGTAAATATTACCGTCTCAGGTTCACTTTGTCCCATAGGAAGAATTGCATTTTTAAACCTGGGCTCTGGAACGTCAGTAACCCACATATACAGTGTAAGAAAACAGCTGACATGCATCTCAACCTCATTGGCAACAATGGAGAAAAGACTGAATTAAATTATACTCAGGAGCAGTGAAATTTAGTACTTAGTGGTTTCTCCAGGAGGGAGGGAGAAACTGGTGCTGCTGCATACAAGCTGTGTGGCCTTGGACGAGTGTCTTCACCTCTCTGAGCTCAGTTCCTCGCCCGGAAATCAGAGCTGGCAGTGAATGAGTCCCTGGAGAAATATCACTGGGGGCCTGGCCTGGGCACCAAACCTTTCTGCATTGTACTTCGTCAGCCGGGATAATCTCGGACAGTGGCAAACACTATCCTGCCTTCTCAGTGGTGACTCAGAGAGTCAGGAAATCAATTTGAGGGGATCTAACCAGCATTTAAAAATAGAAGTAGAGTAGAATAAAAAGCATTATGCAGGACAGGGTGGTTTTTCACGACACTATGTTGTTCATGTTAAATGATTTCTTACCCTGCATCAGAAAAGTTGGAGGCCACTGGTCCACCGCCCCCAGCTTCAAACACTGATTTCCATGTAACCGACCAAATGTGACCCGTGGATAGCAACTCCTGGGTCCTAAAGCAAACTTGTGGATGTCCTGGCCATGCTGCCACCAGGCGACACCTGTGTCCGGCCATAAGTGGGCACTGCAGCGTCCTAGGTGGTGGTTTCCTTCTGCTCCCACATCGCCTCGAGGAGGGCTCTGGTCACAGGGATGTGCACATGCTGAGACCCATTCATCCCTTCCTCACTCCACCTGTCCTTTAAACGCCTCCGTGCACCGAAGTCTCCACTCCCAGAGCTCATGTCTGATGGGGAGGACCGACAAGACTCCAAGTCCACAATCTCGTCAGTGCTGGGAGGCCCCCCGCCTGGTGTGGGGGTGGGACAGATCGTGGTGGAGTACCCCCCGGCCCCCAGCCGGCTGTGTGACCTTGGGCAGCCTGCTCAGCCTCTCTGTGCCTGTTTCCTCTGCTATAAAATGGGAATAACAGCACCTACTCCATAGGGTTATCAGGAGCATTAAATAAGTTAATATTTGTAAAGCACTTGGAAGGGGCCTGGCCTATGTTTGTGAAACCAACCATTAAAAACTCTCATTTTACAGTGGTAGGAACTGAGGACCAAGGGCGTGGGGGAGGGAAACGCAGGGGAAGGGTTGGGGGGGGGGCTGGGTGAGGAAAACACGGCCAACCTGGAGAGTTCTCTGCCCCCTCAGGTGGGTCCTTTGTCCCCCAAAGCTGAACTCAGCAGAGCTTTTGGGCACCACACAGCTGTGGGCAGCTGCGAGAACCCTCTGGCTCTTCTTTTTCCCCTTCCTCCCTCCTTTCCTTCCTTCTCAGGTTCATTAAAGTATAATTTACACTCTGTAAAGTCCACCCATTGTGGGTTGCCTCCTGGATGCACCCCCACTGGGGGATCAAACCCGCAACCTTTTGGTGTACTGGTGGGAAGCTCCAACCCACTGAGCCACCCGTCCAGGGCTTAATAACTTTTCATAAATTGGATGGAGTTGTACAATTACCACCATAGTCCATGATCCCCCCAATTTCCCTCTCGAGAGCTTGCAATCAATTTGCCATCCCCACTCCAGTCCCACGCACCCACTGATCTCTCTGTCTGTACTGATTTCCTCCTTTCTGGAAATTCTGTATGAATGGAACCCTCCATTTGTACAACCCTATTCTGTCTAAAACTTGCTGGTACCGCTCATACAAAAGCAGTTTTAGCGGCAATGTTTACAATACCTATGGCAAGACACACAAGAGTCTCTTTAAAAATAACCTGCAGGGCCGTGAATAAGAATCGCTCCTTTCGAGGCAGCCCGCTTGGGTTCATCTTCGTCTGAATGAAGCAAGGCATAAAGAAGTATTCAGTGAGATACCATATGTAGTATCAAAATGTGCCAAAACAGCAAATATCTGGAGATTTATGCACAGGGGGTGAGCATAAATATGGGCCAGGGAATGAATAATCTAAAATATAACCCAGTGGCTTCCTCTTGGGGATGGGGTGTCAGATATAATTGCCTGGCATTTCATAACGAACTGTGTATGGACCTGGGTGGTGAGTATGTGGCACTCACCTTACCGACTTTTAACTCTGTATGTTTTCATATGCTTTGGTGGCCACATTTCCCAAAAGAACAGCAAAGGAAACCATCAGCCAAACAGGGCAGCCCACAGAATAGGAGAATGTATTCATCAGTGATACAACTGATAAGGGGTTAATACCCCAAATTCATAAAGAACTCACACAACTCAACACTAAAACACCCCCAAACAATCCAATTAAAAAATGGGCAAAGGACTTGAATAGACACTTCTCCAAAGAGGACGTACAGATGGCTGATTGACATATGAAAAGGTGCTCAGTGTCACTAATCATCAGAGAAAGGCAAATTAAAACCACAATGAAATACCATCTCACACCTGTCAGAATAAATATCAATAAATCAACAAGCAACAAATGCTGGCAAAGATGTGGAGAAAGGGGGACCCTAGTGCACTGTTGGCGGGAATGCAGGCCGGTGCAGCCACTGTGGAAAGCAGCATGGAATTTCCACAAAAAAATAAAATGGGAATGCCTTTTGACCCAGCAATTCCACTTCTGGGAATATAGCTGAAGAAATCCAAAACTCAAATATGAAAGAATACAGGCACCCCTATGTTCACTGCATTATTTACAACCGCCAAGATCTGGAAGCAGCCCAAGTGCCCATCAGTAGATGAGTGGATAAAAAAGCTGTGGTACTTTTACACAGTGGAATACTATTTGACCATAAAAAAGAAGGAACTCCTATCTTTTGGGACAGCATGGATGGACCTGGAGATTATTATGCTAAGTGAAATAATTCAATCAGAGAAAGACAAATACCATATGATTTCACTCATATGTGGAATCTAATAAATAATTAGAGACAGACTGATAGATACTGAGAACAGACTGACAGCTGTCAGAAGGGAGGAAGGTGAGGGGCACTGGGTGAGATAGGTGAGGGGATTAAGCAAAAACAAACAAACAAAGAAACAACTCACAGATGCAGACAACAGTGTGCTGATCACCAGAGGGAAGGGGGTGGGGGAGGAAGGGGAGGGTACAGGGGGGATCAATGGTGACGGAGAGACTTGACATTGGGTGGTGAACGCTCAAGACTGTATACAACTGATACATGATAGAACTATACACTTGAAACCTACATATCTTTATTAACCAATGCCACCCGAGTAAATTCAATAAAAATGTAAAAAAAGTTGCAAATAAAAAATCAGGACAGAGAGCGCCCCTTTCCATCTCCCCGTCTTCCGCATGAGGAAGCAGATCTCGTGAAGTCAAGGCTTGTCTCGTTCTTCCATTGGACCAGGCCTGTGAACTAAGAACCGTTTTTTATTTGTAAATGATTGGGAAAAAATAATCTAAAGGTTACCTCATGATATGTGACACAAAAGAAATGTGGAAAGCACCCTTTGTGCGCGGTTGTGGTCAGCAGTAAATGAGGATATACGTAAAGACTCACTCAGGGTAGTGTTGCCTTATTTGTTTTTATTCATGGCAGAATGCATGGAATCTGTTTTGCAGCTTCAATTTTGAAAAGCAATTCTTTTAAAAAATAAAAATATCTCAAAAAAAAAAAAAGGAAAGAAGACTCACTCATGGTAAAGGGCACATAAACTTTCACCCAGATTAAAAAAATTATTGTTGGGCCCTGGCCAACTGAGTGTGACTCGGTTGGTTGGAACACTGTCCTATAAACCTGGTCACAGCTTCAGTTCCCAGTCAGGACACATACCCAGGGTGTGGGTTTGATCCCAGGTTGGGGCTCATATGAGAGGGTGACCGATTGATGTTTCTCTCTCACATCAATGTTTTTCTCTCTGTCTTTCTCTGTCTCTCTCTGCTCTGCCTCTCTCCCTTCCTCTCAAAAACAAAAGAATGAATGAAAAAATGTCCTCAGGTGAGAAAAAAAATCATTGCCAGTAGAGAAGGTGGTTAAGCCAGACTAGAAACAGCCCACCAGCAATAAAGAAAATGCCAGACTCCTAGGTGTCTAACAATATCGTCTCCAAACACATAAAGCAAGAATTGACAAAACAATGAGACTACAATAACCCACCTTTAGAGTGGGATTTTATTATAAACTTGCTCACTAAAGAATGAGTACAACGCTTTGTTAATGAGATTGCAAAACACTCAAGAAGCTTAACCATTCAGACATGTACTGACCCCTGAGCCCACCCAATACCAAAGAAATACACAGTATTTTGAAACACACAAGGAGCAATTTTTTAAAAACTGGCCATGTGCTAGGTTGATCATTTAGCATTTAACTGAGTGATAAAAAAACCTAACTCCCTAAAAATGCTTCTTAATCCAACTAGATAGGGATTTGCTTCATGTAATAAGTCTAAAAAAATACAGTCTATTGCAGCCATGGACACCCACAAATATATCATTGGGGAGCAAAAATCTTGCATTTTGAGGGTTGTGTGATAGGGACCATGATCTTCACCCAATGATCCCAACATTGCTATGCTAATGCAGGGAGTACTGCCTAATCTGCAGAGAACAACAGGGAGAGAGAGCAACAGGAACTTGTATAAGAGAAACTGAGTGGTGAGCCCTGGCTGGTGTGGCTCAGTGGACTGAGTGCCAGCCTGTGAACCAAAGGGTCGCCGGTTCGATTCCCAGTCAGGGCACATGCTTGGGTTTCGGGCCAGGTCCCCAGTAGGGGGTGGGTTAGAGGCAATCACACATTGATATTTCTCTCCCTCTCTTTCTCCCTCCCTTCCCCTCTCTCTAAAAATAAATAAAAACTTTAAAAAAATGAGAGACTGAGTGATGAACACTGTCCCCTCTGGACAGCTGTCTAGGAATCCATACCAGGAACTGTGTCTTCCTCTTCGGCCAGGGCTATACATCATTCCCACCCTCAGTTAGGAGGAAAACTGAGGCATGCATTTAAAAACATTATCCAGTTCAGTGGATTGAGCATAGGCTGCAAACCAAAGGGTCGTGGGTTCAATTCCCAGTCAAGGCACATGCCTGGGTTGTAAGTCAGGTCCCCAGAAGGGGGAGCATGAGAGGCAACCACATATTGCCATTTCTCTCCCTCTTTCTCCTTCCCTTCCCCTCTGTCTAAATATAAATAAAATAAAAACATTAAACAGTGATAACTTTGGAACAATAAATCTGTGTAACCTTAGTAAAGAAGGCATATGATCAGGCAATTATGAGAATCACCCCAGGAGGCCAAAGTGATAGTCAGGACAAGAACCACCTATCAGCACCATCAAGACCACACACTGTCACTATAACGCAGTCAGATCATGACGAGTAACAACTATGACCACAAACTGATGAAAGGGGCATTATAGAGCGCATTCAACCCTAAGCTAAGTCAGATGTGGCTCCAACAGGAAGCCACGCTCACCATTGGCGAGATGTATGTAAGTGAGTTGTAACGAAGCTACTACACATCACAATTCATGTGGCAGAGTAGAGAGGGTACAGAGAGGGATACTCATTGTTGTACAGGATTTTATTAGAAAAGAAGAAGTGGAACATAATGAACTTTGGTTTCCACCAAAGGATGAGATGCCTATGGCAGCAAATATACATAATGTTCGTGGTGTTTCTCTCCGCCCGTGCACTCATCTGAAGCCCGAGCGTGAAGGGCGGGAACTGAAGGCCTGCTCTCGTCCATCTGTACGAGTTTCCTTCTCAGGTGTGGTCTCAAGTGGGACTCAAGAAAGGAGTGTTGGAAGAGGTCTCCCCACATTCCTCACTTGTGTCTCTGCCATGAGTTCTTCATAGGGACTTTTGAATTTGAGACGACATCGAAGGCTTTTCGTATGCCTCAGATCTGTGAGATTTCTCTCCAGTGCAAGAAGAATGTCTCCTCAAGACGAACGAAGGTTAACAGCTTTCCACACATCTTCTCTTCACAAGGCTTTCTCACCCGTGTGATTTTTTCCCATTTCTGTTAAGATACAAGCATTCCAGGAAGACGTTTCCCTGTACAAAACTGCTGGAGCTCACTTCCAATATGGCCTCTTTACGAACTTGATATTTTGAGAATAAAGCTTTCTTTGGGTTTCTTTTATTCTAGGGAGCTCTCAGCTATGTTTTTCTTTTTTTTTTTTTTAAGGCTTTATTTATTTATATTTACAGAGAGGGGAAAGGAGGGAGAAATAGAAGGAGAGAAACATCAATGTGTGCTTGCCTTTCACGCACCCCCTACTGGAGACCTGGACCACAATCCAGGCATGTGCCCTGACTGAGACTCGAATTGGTGACGCTTTAGTTCTCAGACCTGTGCTCAGTACACTGAGCTACCAGCCAGGGCTCAGTTGTGCTTCTTTAGATGGCTTTTAAGTCCTGAATGACCAGCGAAGCCTCTTCCACATACCTTACAGACATAGGGCCTCTCTCCAGTGTGAATCCTCACATGTTTGGTCAGGCCTGAGGACTTCCGGAAGGCTTTCCCACACTCCTTACATTTATGGGACTTCTCCGCCATGTGCCTTGCTAAATGTTTATTGAGGTGTAAGGAATATCGAAAGGCTTTTCCGCACATCTCACATTCATAGGGTTTCTCTCCAGTGTGGATTTTCATGTGTTGCATAAGGAAGGAGTGGTAAGCAAAGGCCCTCCTGCAGTCTTCACACTTATAGTTCTTCTCTCCGGTCCTGGTGCTCCTGTGGGACTCAGACACTGCAACGTGGGCAGAGGTTTTCCCACTTTGATTGTTCCCATTATCTGCCCCTGCCGTATGAGATGGCATCCGCACACCACGGAGCGAGCAGCTTCGAGAGGTGTTTTCAAAGGCGTTCGACGTGAACGTTTTCTTTTTGACGTGAGTCTCGTGTGTCCCAAGGGCACCGCCTTTGGCGAAGACTTTCCCCAGTGGATCCCAACCAGGGACGGCAGCGCCCGCACACTTTTCATCGTGAAGACGAAGCCCATGGTTCTGGGTGTCAACCCGCATGTTGGATTTCGCGTCTGTTGGAGCTCCCTCCCTTGGAGCTGATGGGACGTTCTGCCTCAATCCTCTACCGTCCTTGCTGTTTTCAGAGGTTGTGTGGTTACTTGGTAAGGCACAATTTGGCTTCCAAATATTGGGGAGGCTGTATTTTCTTGTGGAATCTCCCCGTGAAGGCACGAGCTTGGAGCTTGATGCAAGGCGCTCCCTCATTTTGGGATATGCAAAGTCTCGAGCCAGGGACTTGTCCTCCTCTCGGGCAGCTGCAGTGGGCTGCCCTTCCTGCCCCCTCTGCCCGTGGGGCTCCTGTGTTCGGGGGCATTCCCAGTCTCCTCCTAAGGCAGCACTGTTGCTCGTGAGACACACTCCGCTGGCTGTGTGGAGTGTCTTTTTAGCAAGAATGTCCTGCTGAGAGACCGAGTCTTTGGTTTTAGGTTGAATCGCCTGATCTGAAACAAAGCAGCACAGAAGTTAAGTTCTCTGATGAAAGTCAAGGTGGGCAGGAGAGGATAAAACAGGTGAATGCCCCCATGGGCTTCTTTTCAAATGTTCACTCGGACATGAGAGGGGCAAATATGAAAGCAAAGAAAGCGAGAGAAGCAAGTAGAGAGTCCTTAGGAACCTGGGCTGGGTCAGGAGTGTGGCTGTGGTTAAGGACCGTGGTTCAGCATGGACAGCAGACTGCTCAGAAACGGTCTGCAGCACTGGCTGCTGCAGCTCAGTGGGTTGCCGATGTTCTGAGAACCAAAGAGTCACCAGTTCAAATCCCAGGCAGGACACATGCCTGGGCTGTGGGCCATTCCTGGTTGGGGCCATGTGCGAGGGGCAATGATCATTGTTTCTCTCTCTCAGTTTCTCACTCACTTCCCCTCTCTCTATAAATAAATAAATAAAGAAAGAAAGAAAGAAAGAAGATGAGGAGAACAGACCTCTTTCCATCATATGTTGACACAACGGGAAGGTGGCCATCCGCAGACAAGGCAGCAGAGCTCTCTGGGAGCCAAACCCGCCAGCACCTTGACCTTGGGACTTCCCAGTCTTCAGAGTATGAGCAGCAAGTGCCCACGGCCTAACGCCCAGTCTGTGCTGTTCTGTCCCATCAGCCCAAAAGGAGGAGGAGAGAGTTTGTGTGTAATTTTGAGGTTGAAAGGGGACAGGTCTTCCTTTGGGAACAAGAGAAGCAGTGAGAAGATGATAGAGAAGTAAACTTTCTATGCGCCTAGTGACGCCCACATACACAAGCCTCAGCCTTCCTCGCAGATGAAATGGACTTTAAAAAAAAACAAACCGAGGTGAAATCACGCAACATAAAAGTGCCCATTTTCAAGGGTACAGTTCAGTGGCATTGCGCACATCCTTATGTTGTACAACCGTCATCTCTTTTCAGTTCCAGCACCTTTTCACCCCCAATCCCAAAAGGAAACCTTGTATTCGTTAAGCAGTCCCTCCCTCTCCTGCTCCAGGCGACCACTCCTCTGCCTTCCGATGGGTTCACCTGTTCTATTCTGAATAGGTTTACCTATACCTATTCATATAAATGGAACCCTACACTATGTGCCCTCTTGTGTTCGGCTTCTTTCATTCAACAACAGAACGCTTTCAGGTTCAGCCACACTGTCAAATGCGTCTGGAAAGTCATGCCCTTTCATGGGTGGAGAATACGCCATGGTTTGGATTGAGCGTATTTGGTTTCTCTGGGCACCTGCTGATGGACATCTGGGCTCCACCCACCTTCTAGCTACTGGGGACAGCGCTGCTGTGAACCCCTGCTCCTGGATCTGTTTGCACCCCACTTTCAATTCCTTTGGGTCTATACTGCAGAGAGGAATTGCTGGATCATATGGTAATTCTGTATTTCTTTTTATTAAAAGACTTTATTTATTTTCAGAGAGAGGGGAAGGGAGAAAGAGAGGGAGAGGAACATGAATGTGCAGTTGCCTCTCACACGCCCCCTACTAGAGGCCTGGCCCGAAACCCAGGCATGTGCACTGACTGGGTATCGAACCGTCGACCCTTTGGTTCTCAGGCTGACACTCAATCCACTGAGACACACCAGCCAGGGCTGTTCACTTTTTGAGGAACCTCCACCATGTTTTCCACAGTGGATGCGTGGAATCTCCACTTTTCTCTGGAAGGCACTAAAACGCTGTGCCCCACAATCACCCATTAAAGGATCCCCCAAAGGCTCTTACTCATGAGGTGAATAAAATGTAATACAACAGACAAGGGAAACCCTATACCTACCACAGCAGCAGCCTCCCGAACACAAGGGGCGGGGCCAGACTCTCCTTCATCCCACAGCCACAGAGAGAGCCCAGGAAGGGGCACCCTTTACCTATGCAGGCCAGGTTCCGGAAGTTCTCCAGCATCACGTCTCGGTAGAGATGCCTCTGCTCGAGGTCCAGCAGGCTCCACTCCTCCTTGGTGAAGTTTAATGTCACGTCCCCGAAGGTCACTGGCTCCTAAAATTAAACGCCTGGCTCATTGGGGTACTTTGAGGAGGAGAATTAGGCCGCCTCCCAAAGATAACTTGAAATCCTAACCCCCAGGACCTGGAATGTGACCTGATGTGTGAACAGGACTTTTGTAGACATGAAGGAGGGAAGATGAGGTTGCCCTGGAGCGGGGCAGGCTCCAGAGAAGAGGAAACGTGGTCACACAGAAGAAAGCATGTCACACAACGACACAACAGCAGAAGTGGTGACAGGAGGAAAGTGAAGGACAGGCGGTTGCAAGTTGTATGGAAAATTGTCCTACCTCGAACCTGAAGGCAGATTTGGCACAGTCTACCAGAGTTTTATGTACATGTATCCCTTGACCCAGCATTTGTGCTCCTAGGATGGTATTACCATATGCCCTGGCCAAAAAGCCAAATGCCAGATACATATATTTATTTATTTATTTAAGGGGATTTCTGACAGCCAATGAGTGAAAACCACCCCAAACATTCAACAACAGGGATTGCTTAAAAATCTGTGTGTGCTGTAGCCCTGGCTGGTGTAGCTCAGCGGATTGACTGCTGGCCTGAATACCAAAGGGTCACCTGTTCGATTCCCAGTCAGGGCACATGCCTGAGTTGCAGGCCAGGTCCCCAGTAGGGGGCGCACGGGAGGCAGCCACACATTGGTGTTTCTCTCTCCCCCCCTCTCCCTCCTTTCCCCTCTGTCTAAAATAAATAAGTAGAGTCTTTAAAAAAGAAAAGAAAAGAAAGCAGACCTCTCTCCAGGTGGCTTCACTGCTAAAAGTAGTGTTGCCGTTCTACTTACAAATATTTCATATTCACTGCAGGATCAGGCAAAGGGATTATGTTAATGTTAGGAAGCAAGCTTTTCAGTCTAAGAAGGATTCAAATAAAAAGTAAAAAAAAGTTTTAAAAAATCAGCTTCATGGAAGGTTATCAGCATGAGCATGTGGCCAGTGTATGCAAAGAAAATGGTTTGGGGGGAGCATTTGGGATCTCGCTCTCTAACATGCCACTGGTTTGGCTCAAGGAAACTCTCAAAAAAAATTTTTTTAAAAAGATTAGGAGGATGAATAAGCAGAAGGCAAAGAGAAATGGCTGATCCAGGAGCCGGAAATATGAAACGAGAGTCGGAGGTATCTTGTGGTGCCAGAAGGCAGAGACACCATCCTAGGACATGTGAAGAGGATGTAGATGCTCTGACTGCTGTGACTCAGTGGGTTGGTCAGCTCTCTGTGGACTGAAAGTTTGCTGGTTCGATTCCCAGCCAAGGCACATACCTGGGCCAGGCCCAGGTCTCCAGATGGGGGCATGCAAGAGGCAACCAATTGATGTTTCTTTCCCTCTCTTTCTCCTTCCCTGCCCCTCTCTAAAAATAAATAAATTTAAAAAAGAGAGAGAAGATATAGAGGCCAAAAGCCTTTGGATGACGCAATTTCAAATATCCCGAAGAACAAAATCTCAATGGACTGAATACACTGAATACCAAAAGCACATGAACTCAGACTGATACCCAGAAAAGGAGCTGGAAGGGGAACAAAGGACCATTTCTCACCCCTGCAAGCAGCTTAGTCTTTACTGTGAAGCTCAGTCAATAAAGAAACTTGTCAGAATTCCAGGTGAAAACCTAGAAGAAATGATTGCACCGAAAAGCCAGAATTTTGCAGCTCAAATGAAATAACTCACCCAGAAACAAACATGCATGGATGCTACACACACTGATGACTCATAATGTCAAGAGCCATTTCGCAATTAGTTGCCTCTCCCACGCCTTCAACTGGGGACCCAGCCTGTAACACAGCCATGCGCCCTGACTGGGAATTGAACCAGCGACCTTTAGGTTCACAGGCCGGCATGCAGTCCACTGAGCCACACCAGCCAGGGCTCCATAGGTCTAACTTTCATCCACACACAGATCCACAGCTGGGACCGCCAGTCGAGGTCATGAACAAAAGGGAGGCAAGTTCCAGCGAGACTATGAAACCTGAAAGAGAAACATCACTTATGCAGTATGTTAGCACCTGGTTGAAAGAAATCTAACTTGAAAAGATATTTTTGGTAGAAATGTGGAATTTGAACCCCAACCAGGTGGGCTATGAGTTTTGTTTTTTAAACCCATGCAAATGGCTGATTCCTTAATCTGAGAACCTAAGGGTGTTGATTATGTTATTTCAACATTTGACTGGAAGAAAAGCAAAAAATTTTGACTTGTATAAGTTTAATGTATTTTTGTCTTCATAAAATTTCTTATTACATATTAAGCAAACTTGGTTTAAAATTTTATTATATTTAGCCCTGGCCGGGTGGCTCAGTTGGTTGTAGTGTTGTCTCCGTACACCAAAAGCTTGCAGGTCAGATCCCCAGTCAGGTCTCACACCTGGGTTGTGCGTCCTGTGCCTGGTCAGGGCACATAGGGGGTGCAACTAATCAGTTTCTCTCTCTCTCCCTCTCTCCCTCTTTCTCTCAAATCAATAAAACATACCCTGATGTGAGGATTAAAAAAAAGTTAAGAACAAACAACAAAAGGATGTTTTTTTGTTTACTCTGCCATGCAATCTTACAGCCAATCCACTCTTTCCAAAGCTCAGAGATGCAAAAGAGCTTTCTCAGCGTGGACGCTAAATGATGGAGAGTGTCAGATGCATCATACAGCGAGGGAAATGGGAGTGAGGCCCAGCGCGCCATTCACCCAGCTTCCACACACGGTCCGCCTCCCCCCTCCTCCAGACGGCCTGGCATTTCAGTCTTAAACGTTGCTGTTGTCGATTCCTAGAGCTTGAGGAGTCTTGGATAAAGACAATCCACACTTTCACACTGAGCAATGCCGGCGTCCACTTCTATAGAATGAGATATTTAGTCCATTTCCAAAATGAGACCCATATGGGTATTTGATCGCTTGAGCCTTTTAAAATCTGTGATGACCCCTTATCCTTATATTCACTGTAAAGGCGTGTGCAAGGAGCTCACTTTCATGAGATAAAGGAGTCTTGAAAAGATATGCAAGGGTCTATAGAAACGGTTACTCCTGGGTGGCTGGGAGCTGTGCGTAGGGTGTGCCAAAGCAGGGCGGAGGATTTCAAGGTTTGCCCTAATCAGCTCCATTTTTTTTAAAGACATTGATCTATTACATATTTCAAAAAACAGCCCTGGCTGGTGTGGCTCAGGGGATTGAGTGCCGGCCTTTGAACAGAAAGGCTGCCGGTTTGATTCCCAGTCAGGGCACGTGTCTGGGTTGTGGGCCAGGTCCCCAGTGTTGGGGGTGGGGGGCGGGCGGGGCGGGTGAGAAGCAATGGATTGATGTTTCTCTCACACATGGCTATTTCTCTTTCTCCCTCCCTTCCCCTCTCTCTAAAAATAAATAAATCTTTTAAAAAGAATAACTGTGGTGCTCAGTTATTAAATGCTTGGGGACAAAACCAGAGTTACGGGGGTGGAATATGGGCTTTCCCCGCAACGTAACAGGTGGAAACCTCAGACTCAGAGGGCATGGGCTGCAAAGTCAGAGAGGTTTTTTTTTCTTCTCTCTACTGTTTTAACTCACTGAGGAAACTTGTTCTCTAAAAGTCAGACCCTACTCTATGGTACACGGAGGCACTCGGGCTTCCTCACCCAGATGCCTGGGCACCCAGCGGCAACATTTTCTCAGAGTCTCGAGGATGGGCCTGATAAGCAGTGTTCTCATAGCCTTGACCCTGGGTCCGACAATCGGTTCCCATGGCCTTGAGTGGGCCCGCATGCGTAGAATGAAGTTCTGTTGCAGGTCCCTGCCAGCTTTGTGTACATTTTATTTTATTTTTATATTTTGTATCTTATTTTTTCAATTTTTAAAAAAGGTTTTATTTATTTATTTTTAGAGAAAGGGGGAGAGAAACATCAATGTGTGGTTGTCTCTTGCATGCCCCCTATTGGGGAATCTGGCCCACAACCCAGACATGTGCCCTGACTGGGAATCAAACCAGTGACCCTCTGGTTTGCAGGCTGGCGCTCAATTCACTGAGCCACACCAGCCAGGGCTATATTTTAATATATAAGGTAGTTGGACTTCCCGCTGAGAGAGAGGGACATGCAGTGTGACACACAGTGACACGCAGGGGGGCACGCAGCTTGCAGCGTGCGTGGATCGCCCACCCTTGAAGGGCGTGTCAAGCATTCCCAACCACTCCTGTGAATATTCTTCCCTCTGGGAACCTGTCCTGTTTTGGACAGAGGCAACACATCTACCTAAAACCCTAAAACGTGGCTGTTTGACATCATATCAGTAAGACAGGAACTTGCCACTCCTGCCTGGGGCATCTAAGTCACTGATACAGAAGCAGGGTGTCAGATAAAGGGTTTGGACACGGCATTCCACAGCTATCAGGAGTTTGTGGTTTCCAGGGAAACAGCCAGCTGGGGATGATAAACTCTCCAACCCCCCCCTCCCCCCAAGGCCCAGCCTGAGCCTCTCCCAGCAGCATTCTCACTGCAATTTGCACTTTCCCCCAATCCTGTAACGGATGACCTGCACCCTTCCTCTCTCTGGCGGGCTCCTCTGGGGTGCAGTGTCCCCCACTCGCAACAAACCAGTACAGCTGGTACCCCAGTTTCATGCCCGGTGATCTTAGGTGTGTCAGCGTGGGACAACGGGGAACCAAGGAAAAAGGTGTCGGAATGCCGGAGCAGCTGAGGTCAGCAGCGAGAAGGAAAAGACTCATCTGGCAGATGACTCCCCTGCCATCTTCCTGCAACTTGTCCTTTTCAAAACTCCCTTTATGGGGTGCAGGGGTCTCCATTCACTAAAGGGGAGAATGTGCCCATCCGACTGTGGAAGTAAGGGGGCCACGTGTGAACCCCGACAAACCCAGGGGAGGCCAGCGTGGCGGCCTCACAAACTCAGAGACCTGAAGCTACCACCACAGGGTGGTCTGCAGTTAGATACTTCCTAACTGTGCGCAGGTCAGGTCCAGCATTTCCCCTATCGGTGGTCGGTCTTCACCTTAACCGACACTGTCTGTTGTCTTTGTGCATCTTAGACAACGTCGCTTCAGAATGTCCTATTTCCTTCTTACGGACCCCTGAAAGCCCAGGGCCTGTACGGGGGTGGGGGACTGACAGGGGATGGGGGACTCAGATGTCGGAAATTTTTAGTTTCGGGTGATAGCTAATGAGCTTGGTCATCCACGTATGTAAAAAGCTATTGTTGCGGGAACCGAAGGTGTGACCCACCTGGACTGCAGGGGACCGGAAGCAGTTCCACCTTCGTGCCTCGGGAGGCCTGCAAGCCGTCAGGACGGAACCGAGCCTTTGCACCTCAGGGTGAGACGCGTGCCGCCCAGGACACAGCTGAAAGGGTGCTGCACCTTTCATCTGGTTAACTTTTCCCTGAATTCCAAACCCCTTACCTATGCTTTTCTTTTCCTTATCAAAGAAACTCAAACCAAACTCAAATCTCAAAGCCCTTTCCCTAGAAGAACCCATCCCTCAGCCTTTCTGACTGCCTGGAATTCCCCAGTTCACCCCAGTGCAACCTACTCCGGCACTGGAACGCTTTTATGGATTCACCTAAGTAACACAGTCCCCCCAGGGTCGGGGGCGTTTTGCAAGGTTGCAGCCACCACCCCCCCCATACCCAAGCGAAGGTTGAATTCGAAGCGCAACACGTGGGCGGCTCCTGGCTTCCTCTCTCCTCCCCCGCGGAGAGCGACTGTGGCAGACCACGGCTCCCAGCTCCGGAACCCGCCTGCCCCGGGCGTGGGCAACCCCTCAGCGGGCACAAAGCACACTCACCATTTCAGCAGCACCGGCTCCGGGCGCAGCGCAAGAAGCAGCTCATTCGAGGGGCGTGCGGGCTGCAGAGCAGTGGGCCAGAGCTCTGGGGCTGTACAAACAAGAATAACCCAATAAACCAATGATTAAAAAAAAATTTTCCCCTTCCCCAGGGGAGACCCAGGGCAGAGGGGCGTCCTGCCCAGGCATTCCGTATCCGCTTCCAGGGTCCCTCATCAAAGCGGATGGGTCAAGGAGTTTACGGGAGGAGGAGCAGACCGCAGGACACGACCCCTCGGAGCGCAGGGGGCTAACCTGGCCTGGGACAGACACTTTTGTACCTCCCCAGGCGCCCGATCCTGGGAGGCAGGGGACATTCCAGCGCCCGGGCTACCTCCAAGCCGTGGACCCTCACTGTCTCCTCCACCAGCCGCAGGTTCACAGGCTTGGACATTGCCCCAGGGACACTGGACTTGTGCCCCCAGAACTTTAGGTGTTTATATTCTAAGTGCCCTGTGAGCATTGTTTCTTCTCCCGGGACTTTATTTGATGAACCCCCAGCAAAGTCTCTGAGCGGCTGAGCTATCAGACTCTATCAGGGACAACAGGTGTCCTGGTGGCAGGCGCCCTGATGCCCTTGCTTGGCTCTAATATCAAAACAGTTTCAGTCTTAAAACTTTGGATAAAGAAATCACACTCCCTCCCTACAGGCCCATAGCCTCCTCCCTTCCCAACAGTCACTCATCAAAATGCTACTTCATTTTTTTCAACCGCAGATGAATCTATATTGATACATCATAACCACAGAAGTCCGTAGTTTACCTTAGGGTTGGTTTACTCTCGGTGTTGTGTGTTTCTACGGGTTTGGACAAATGCATAACAGCATATATGTCATTATAGCGTCGTACTCCCTAAAAACCCTCTGTGCTCTGCCTGCTCATCTTCCAAATGAAAACTCTGTGTTCTGTAACTCCCGACTCCCTTTGTCCTCCCCACCCCCTCAGCCGCTGGCAACCTCTACTTTTCATCGCTATGAATTTGACTATTCTTCGTACCTCATGGAAGCACAATCACACGATCTTTGTTCTTTCATGTCTGGCTTATTTCACCCATCAACCGACGGTCACCGGCACCCCCTCCGCTGCAACAAGAACCCCCAATTTCTGGTGCAGTGTAAACAGCTCAATAATAAAACAGCATGGCTGTGAAATGGCATCCCTACAAGGTGTCCCTCAGGTGAAGTGTTCCTCCTGTGCCGCTCCAGGCCACCCTACCTGCTCTGTGCCTCTCTGGCCAGACGGTCGCCCTGGGAATCGCAGTCTCCAGTCTTGGGTGGAATGAGAAACTGTTCTACCTGGGGGCTGACTTATATAACTAGAAGTCTCTGCCCCTGGTCCCCTATTGGTCTGCTCTCATGCAAATGAGGACTCCAAGTCCTCACCATTTAATTGGTCCAAAAAGCACTGTCCTGAGTCGGCAGAATGGAGCTACTCTCATTGGTTAGTGGGGATGCTAATGAGGTTACAACTGCACAGATCTGATGGGACAGAGAAAGTCTTAGTCCTTTGGTTGAGATACAGTTCAGGGGGCTCTTTTACAACGGTTGGTTTAGGGCAGGAGCACAATGCAGGCCAGCAGTGTATTTTGTTTATTTTTTTTAAATTTTAAAATATATTCTATTGATTATGCTATTACAGTTGTCCCATTTTCCCTTCTTTATTCTCCTCCACCCTGCACAGCCCCTCCCACCAGCATTATCTCCACCTTTAGTTCATGTCCATGGGCCATACATATAAGTTCTTTGGCTTCTACATTCCCCATATTGTTCTTAACCTCGCCCTGTCTATTTTCTCCCTACCATCTATGCTACTTATTCTCTGTACCTTTCCCCCCTCTCTCGTCCTCTCCCCACTCCCCTGTTGCTAACCCTCTATGTGATCTCCATTTCTGTGGTTCTGTTCCTGTTCTAGTTGTTTGCTTAGTTTGTTTTTGTTGCTTTAGGTGTGGTTGTTAATAATTGTGAGTTTGCTGTCATTTTACTATACACGTTTTTTATCTTCTTTTTCTTAGATAAGTTCCTTTAACATTTCATATAATAAGGGCTGTGTAATGATGAACTCCTTTAACTTGACCTTATCTGAGAAGCACTTTATCTGCCCTTCCATTCTAAATAAAAACTTGGCTGGATCGAGTAATCTTGGATGTAGGTCTTTGCCTTTCATGACTTTGAATACTTCTTTCCAGCCCCTCTTGGCAGGCTGGCAGTTTGGTGCTGGCTTCTCCATGAGGGGTGGCTTGTGTGAGAGCTCCATGTTTAGCAATTTTTATTCAGCATATAAATGGGAGTCCAGTTAGCCAGCAGGAGCCCTTCTCAACAGGTGCATTCACTTTTCAGGTCAATACATTTCACATCATGTTTCCAAGGTTCATCTATGTTGTAGCCTGTATAAGTAGTCTATTCTTTTTTTCCCCAATAGGGAATTGAACTGGCAACCTCTCAGTTTGTGGAACGATGCCTCACCAGCCAGGGCGGTAGTCCATTCCTTTTTATAACTGAATAGTATTACATTGTTTACCCGTTCATCCATCCATGAACCTGTGGGTTGTTTCACCTTTTGGCCACTGGGAGTTATGCCACTATGATGAACACTGGTGTACAAATACACCAGGTTTTCCTGAAATAAGTATATTTTTGGTATAATTTATTTTAAGGTTTTTGCCTTCCACTTTTCGGTATCATCATAATCAAATTGCACCTCTAGTAATCACTATAATTGCATTTTTAAAATCCTGCCTGACAAAGTTTGTCTTTGAATTTGAGTCAATCCATTCATATTTAATGCAATTACTGATATAATTGTATTTAAATTTTTTACTTCCAAAACAAAAGTTTTTTGTTTTTTGTTTTTTACCAGCAAAATGGGTTTATTCAGGAATAGCAAAGATTGCAATTCTGGACAAGCAAGCTATAAGTAAAAGCCATAGACAAATCCAAAAAACAAAGGAGAATATCTTTTTTTTTTATGGAGAAAAAAGAAGTTTGGAGGAGTTGTTTTGAAAGAAAGCCTACTGGGGAAAAGTGAGAATTCAGGGAGATGGTGGTTTCTCATTGGTTGAGCTGCTGGGGGAAATGATTTTTTGTACAAGGGGCAATGTACATCTTCTTCTGTTGGGGTCCATAAATAATGATTCTTTCATAGAGGAATCTTCAGCCTGTAATTGACAATTCTTCCTGTTATTGACAGGGAGTGGCATCAGGGAGACATCCCCCTTTTGGCCTCCCAACTCCATTTTAGTGAGGTTTCCCTTGATTAATTTTCACAAAAATCTAGCAGTTTACCATTTATTTTATATCTTTCCATGTACTTTACTGTCTATTTTATATTTTTCCTTATTGTTCAGTGTTCCTTTAGTTCTACTTCTTATCTACTTCTGGGTTATCCCATAATCCTCTAAGTTAATCGATCTTAAAATTTTTTTCAGGGGTTGCCACGGTACACTGTGAACTGTGGTGTTTTAGAGCTCTGTGGCCACAGGGCTGGACAGCAGCTGCAGCTGCTGGTGCAGTGGTGCCTAGAAAAGTATTAAGAGTTGAGGAAAAGTTGGGTTTCATCCTATTATCATCAGAAAGACACTTTCAGGACTTCCAGTCAAGATGGAGGCATAGGTAAACACACTTCACCTCCTTAAACAACTATAGAAAGAAATTACAACCAGGCCTCACAACAAATTGTTGGGAACCGCCTTGCCTGGTATCAGAAGCTGTAACCCCCACCAAGACTAAGGCTAAGGGAACGACCTTGGACCACAAGCCACCAAGGAGACAAAAGCTTATCTCCCTGGCTTAGGAGCGCTGCTTCTGCTTCTTTTACTTCATCCATAACTGGCCCCCAATGCTTGGTTGGTTAGCCAATGATGGGTAAAATTCCCCGGGGGGGGGGGACGATCTAAGACAGGCACGATCACGTGGGAGGCCCACAAGGACGGACTTTGGGGGCTACAGCAAAAGGAGGTGATGGACCCTTGCCCCTCGCCCCTTGCCCCTCGGCTTTGACAAAGCCTGAGTCCTCATTGTCTGCGAGAAATCTCCTAATCTCTTGGCTGCCTTACTTCCCTTGCTCCACCTAAGCCTGAAACAATAACAGAGGGTGGTACAGCCCTGTGCTGGAAGGGGCAGGTTCCCCGGGCAATCAAGCCTAAGAAAGAATATGTAAAATCCTGTGAAACCTGCTTTGTTTAGAATGCCCTCAATGAAATGATAAGGGTTCAAACAAGAAGTAAGTTTGTTCCTCAAAGTTTTACAGCTCTTTAGCTATCTGACCCTGACTCAAAATAGGCCCTCAGACTTCTTTGTTATCTATTGTTTGATCCTTGCTGCCTGGCAATGATTAATGAGCTTTACCTGAATTTCTGGGTAAATGAACCCAATAAAAGCTTGCTCGGGTGGGAGAACGGTGCACTCTCCACTAGAGAGAGTAGCCGTTTTGTACCTATTTCCCCACAGGACTCGGTTGTCCGTGTGTATGTTTTTCTCGTGTTTCCACGAGCATCTGCAGCCGCGATGGATACCGCTGGCCAGGTATCCGTCACAACAAATAACACCCAGAACTGTCAGAAAATTGAGCTGTATGGAAGTCTGACAACCAATTGTTTAAAGAAGCCACATTCATCCAGACAGGTGCCTTTTCTGCAATAGGCCACACTAGTAAGACGTGGAGTCACAGCAGCTCTACCTGCTTTGCTTCTACACAGAGACAAACACAGGGAGGATGCCGAATTGAGGAGATAAAGAAATATGGCCCAAATGAAAGAACAGAACAAAATCCCAGAAAAGGAACTAAATGAAGTGGAGATAGCCAACCTAACAAATGCAGAGTTCAAAACAGTGGTCATCATGATGCTCAGAGAACTCATTGAGTATGGCAACAACATAAGGGAAGAAATGAAGGTTACACTAGTGAAATAAAAATCTACAGGGATCCAACAGTAGAGAGAATGAATCCAGAATTCAAATCAATGATTTGGGATATAAAGAATAAATAAGTATTCAACCAGAACATCAAGAAGAAAAAGAATCTTAAAATATGAGGACAGTATAAGGTGCCTCTGGTATGTCTCTAAATATACTAACATCCAAATCACAGGGGTGCCAGAGGGATAAGTGGAAGAGCAAGAAATTGAAAACTTACTTGAAAAAATAATGAAAGAAAACTTCCCTAATTTGGTGAAGGAAATAGACATACAAGTCCAGGAAGCACAGAGAGTCCCAAACATGTTGGACCCAAAGAAGACCACACCAAGACACATCATAATTAAAATGCAAAACATTAATGATAAAGAGAGAATCTTAAAAGCAATGAGAGAAAAGCAGAGAGTTCCCATAAGACTGTCAGCTGATTTCTCAAAAGAAACTTTGCAAGCTAGAAGGGACTGACAGAAAGTACTCAAAGTGAT